AGAAAAGGGAGGATGAAGCTTGAACTTTTGCCTACTAAATCCTTTTGAAGTTTCGGTCTCCTTGGAGAGGAAGAGGAGGGGGGAACATTCCTGTGAACTGACAGGAAAAGAAGTCAGGAGAGTGACTTGGAAGATAGCCAATGAGAAGCAGAGATTTGGGGATCAGAAAGGGAGGGATTGGGGGGCAAAGGTCAGTACTGACCGCGCAGAGTCATGATCCGGTTGCCGTACTCGAATAAAGAGAAAATTTCCTTAAAGATTGGCAGTTTGGAAGGTCATTTATTTTGAGATAGCATCGAAGCTTGACAGCTAGTCTGGGTGAAAGTGGGACACCCCCCAAGAATAGCGGTGAGCAAGCCTGAGAGCTATCTATAGAATCGGAAAAAGGGAAAAGAGAACCTTTCAGGAAAGAGAAAAAAGTTTAAAGCCAGGAAAGTTGGACCGGGGATTTTAACTGCAATATTGACTAAGTTGAAAACTTTTTGGGAATATGAAATTCTAACCCCTGGGACTTTAAAAAAGTTTTGGATTGGATTGGATAACAAATACAAGTTAATGAGAGAGGAAAAGCGACATCTATAGTTCAGAGAAAAACACCGAGAAGTGAAAGTGAGTGAAAGGATGACTTTGAATGTCTGCTGGAGATTAACTTGTTTGCTACAAATAACACCTGCACCGGCAAATTGTTTATACGGGATAACAGACAGAGAGTGAAATATTGAACCTTTTTAAACAGTGTAGCTCTTTGAACTTCTATGAAATGTCCGGAATGATGGTATTGAATGCTGAACTAAAGTCTACAAAGAGGATCCTTGCGTAGGTCTTTTGAGATTCAAGATGTTGTAGGATGTAGTGCAGAGCCATCATCTGTCGATCTATTTGCTCGGTATGTAAATTTCAGGGGGTCTAAGATTCAGGGGATCAGTGATGGTTTTCAGGTGGGACATCACTAGCCTTTCAAAGGTTTTCATAACTACAGATCAGGGGAGAAATCCAGCAGGTTCTGACAGGTTCTGGAGAACCGGTAGTGGAAATATTGAGTAGTTTGGAAAACTGGCAAATACCACCTCTGGTTGGCCCCAGAGTGGGGAGGGAATGGGGATTTTGCAGTATCTTTCCCCTGGAGTGAGATGGGAATGGAGATTTTGCAGTATCCTTCCCCTGCCAAGCCCACCAAGCCACACCACACCCACCAAGCCACGCCCACAGAACCGGTAAAAAAATTTGGATTTCACCACTGCTACAGATTCATAACTGGTCTGTAGCCATTCAGTTCCTTGATGGAGATGCCCAAAAGCAAAAAAAAAAAAAAAAAAAAAAATGGACAAAAATACGTACATAGTTGGAAAAAATGGTAAAGCAACTTATTGATCTAAAACCAGAAGTATTTTTGTTGGGCATATTACCAGATAAGTAAAACAAGGGGGAAATACGTTTGATTTTACATGTATTGACTGCAGCCAGAATTCTATTTGCACAACAGTGGAAAAGTAAAGAGATCCCTACAGATGAAAATGTAATTTAAAAAATATTGGAATGTGCAGAAATGGATAGAGTAACACTTACAATTAAGGAAAAGAAAGAAACTAAATACTTTTTAACTTGGGACTTATTTTATCAATAGTTAGCTGACAAAAACAGAAGTTAGAAACATGGAAGTATAAGAAAAGGAACAATGAAAAAAGGGAAGCTTGTTAAAAGTATCATTATGATCATTATGATAGTATGAATATCAATATTGAATGAATATTGTTGTAAACACTTAGATGATTATTTCTTAAAACTATTTGTACCCAGACAACACACTGTTTAACCAAAATGGATTTTTTAATGTTATAAAATAAAAAAACTTTATCGAAAAGAAAAGGGAAGGATGCCAACAGTTGCCCAACTTTTGGCTGAAAGTCCATGTAATTAAATATTATTTTAGGGAATGTTGGTTATTTACCTACTCCCCCTGAATCAATTTGTTCTTTTGCCACAGCTGGGAGGCAGTTATTTTTTCTTTAATCTGACGGATCCGGAGGAAGGCTGATGAACTAACCAAACAATTAATCACAATCCAAAGCCTCCCTGTCTTTCACAAGAACCCCAGTTTCCTTGGCCAGAGTGCAAAGCCAAGAGTAAATTTGTTGGTTTTTCCCCCCTAACTGGCAGCCTTCCCTGGTTGTGTTGACAGGATGATCCCCTATTCTGCTGGAACTGCAAGTCAGTTTTAATCCTCCCCCCTCCACAAACTCTCAATAGACCTGAGGATGAACATTGATATTATCACTGAAACTTGGTGAGATGGAGCCCACAATTATAATATATTACTAGGAGGATATAATTTGTTCAGAAGATGCAGATCCAATAAAAGAGTAGCAATAATTGTATGTATGCATAGTATGTAAAGATGTATGTATGTAAACAATTACTACAGGTAGTCCTCGACTTACAACAATTCATTTAGTGACTGTTCAAAGTTACAATGGCACTGAGAAAAGTGACTTAGGACCATTTTTCACAGCTATGACCTTTGTAGCATCCCCATGATCATGTGATCAAAATTCAGATGCTTGGCAACTGGTTCATACTTATGACCGTTGCTGTGTCCCAAGGTCATGTGATCGCCTTTGGCAACCTTCCGACAAGCAAAATCAATAGGGAAGTAAGATTCACTTAACAATCATGTTGCTAACTTATCAACTGCAGCGATTCCCTTAACAATGATGGGAAGAAATGTAAAATGGGGCAAAATTCACTTAACAAATGTCCCACAACAACAGAAATTTTGGGCTCGGTTGTGGTAAGTCGTGGACTACCTTTATAGCTACACAGAAATTATGTATGCATGCATGCATGTATGTAAAGAATTACTACAGCTACATAGAAATACATGATGTCAGGGATGAAAGCCTTCAAAGTATTTGGGTGAATATTGAGGGAAAAAGAAATGTCATGGCTATAGGTGCAAACTACAGACCACTCAACCAAGCCGAGGCAATAGATGCACTTTTTGCTAATCAGTTAGCTGAGGTGTGCAGGAAACACCAGGGCAGTAATGGGGGACTTTAGCTATCCTGACTTCAACTGGGAAACAAACTCTGCCATGAGTGGGAGATTGAACCGGTTCCTGACGTGCCTGGCTGACAACTTTTATCATCCAAAAGGTAGAGGAGGGAATTAGAGGATCAGCTCTATAATTCTTATTAACAGAGATGGAATGATAGAGGGGGTTGAAGAGGCAGGAACTTTGGGAGAGAGTGACCCAAGTCGTACTGGAATTCATCATAATGATGTAGGTAACTGAACAAAGTCAAACTAATCTTTTAGACTTTTAAGACAGCTACTTCAACAAACTAAGAAAGATCTTAGGAAGGATTCAATGGATGGAAATCCTAAAAGGAAAAACTTAGGATACTTGGGAAACTGAAAACCAAGAAAACCAACATCACAGAGAAAGATAAACAAGAGACCCAAAACAAGACCAGCATGGCTGCACAAAGAGCTTTCTGACTAATTGGGAAACAAAAAGGACAAATATGAAAAAGGGAAAGAAGGCCATATAAACTCAAATCAAATACCAGTAAATATCCGAAATCTGCAAGGATGGAGTCAGAAAGATTAAAGGTTCGGAATGAACTAAGACTTGCAAAAAAATTTGCCAAAAATAACAAGTTTCATTTAGTCTTTTAAGGCATAAAAAGAAAATCAAGAAAATGATAGATTCACTAATGGGAGAAGATGGCAAGATGGTGATGGGCAAAAAGTAGAACTGCTTAATTCCTTCATTGTTTTCACGTGAAAGGGAGGAAAAATAGTCCAGTCTAACAAAAGCAGCACTGTGGGAGACAATACAGGAATGCAAGTCAAAATAGGCAAAGAATTTGGAAACTTTCATATCCCCTGCTTCACAGCCTCTTTCCACTTAGCCATTACACAAGGAACAAAGTCAGTCTCTCTCTCTCTCTCCCTCCCTCCCTCCCTCTCTCTCTCCCCCCCTCTCTCTCACACACACACATATACCAATCATGTTTGTGAGCACACTGGCCCACATTAAAAATGAAATTCTGGTGCCTGCTCTCAAAAGAAAGTATATATTTCTTTCATACACATACATACACATGACACCCCCACCCCCACGAGATTGCATGACCATTTATCTGAAATGGTATCGGGTTTCCTGCCTGAGCAGGGAGTTGGACTAGAAGACCTCCAAGGTCCCTTCCAAATCTGTTATTCTATTCTACTAAATGAACTGTTGTAAGTCGAGGACTACCTGAATCTTACTGCACCAAAAAAGTTGGAAGTCTGCTTTTTTTTCTTTTTTGTCCCTTTATCTCCCCCTTTTTTTCTCACTTTCCTACTTTTACCTCTCCCGGTTTTCTACGGTCTTTATTTCTGTGTCTCTTATCTTGAGACAAAGTTTAATAAAGCTCACAAAAGCATTGGTTGAAATGATAGTTGTGATGCCCTGCCTCACGCTGGCCAGCTGGTCTTTGGGTTGCTGCTGCGCATGCGCAGAGAGAGAGACTTGTAGTTTGGGCACTCGGTCTCTAAAAGGTTCGCCATCACTGTACTCCAACATTCAGGTTTTTGAGTCTTGGGTTTTGAAGCAGTGGTGGGTTGCCCCTGGTTTGGACCGGTTCGCAAGAACCGGTAGTAAAACTGGTGGGAGGCTCCGCCCACTGATCTGGACGTCATCATAGGTGATCTGCGCATGAGCAGAAGAGCGCGGGTGCGATGCGAACCGGTGGTAAAGATAAGTAGAAGCCACCCCTGGTTTGAAGGTATAAAAAAAATCCAGCTGTAAACCACTAGGTTACAGAGGCTTCAAAGGAAACCTCCCCGGATCCTCGTTCTGTGCAGAATAAAGTTGTGTTATTTGAATCTCCGCCCCGGTGTGCTCTTTTGGCCTTGAACATTGGCAAGGACCCACTGTTGGCAAATCAGAACTGTCCCCTGGGTTCCTGGGTTTTACCTTTTCTTCCGCGCGGACTGTTTGCAGAGAGGCAGTCAGCAACCAGAGCTGAAGAGGGAACAGCTGATACTTTTCTCCTCAGCTTCGCAGCCAGCCTCTCTCTTCAATATTATGGGGGAAAGCTGGCAACGTGGAAAAAACCTCTTCCTTCTTCTTCTGCTGTCCGTCCTTCTCAGGACCCCTGTAGCTGCCTCCAAATTGTAAGTTGATTTCTTCAGGCTTCTTCCCTTTCTGTCTTCTTTGGCTGGGAAAGATTTAGGCTTTAAACTCCGCTGTTTTATTTTTAAAGTAAGCATCTCTCAGTCCAGGATTTTCAAAAGGAAACTTAAGGAGGGGCGATGCCCCAGAGATAGCTGGGGGGGGCGGCAGGGGGAGGCAGAACATTTTTTAAAAAATATGTATCTGTAAGACTTTTGGAGCTTCTCAGTCATCCAGGTCATGGTTGTCCCAAAGGTATTTTTTAAAGAGGCAACTGGACTTTCTGGTTTTTCTTTGAAGACATTTCGCTTCTCATCCAAGAAGCTTCTTCAGCTCAGAGCTGAATTGTCCAGTTGTCGTGATTGTCCAGTTTTCCAGTTGTTCAGATTCAACCTTTTGACACAGATCTATCACTACCAACACAGGCCCAAATCTCAGGAAATCCTCTTGTATTTGCTCTGCGTATTTCCTAATCAGAGCCCCTGCCCCTCTTTTCAAGGCGATATGTGGCGGTGGTACCCAGCACAATCTACCTGGGGACCACTGAGAACTTCTGCATCCAGATGAGCAATCTGAAGGAAGCAGTCAACTTGACTCTCTCGGTGCACAATGAAATCGAGGATTTGAGCCTCAATCAAATGACGGTAAAAGGGGAAGATGTATTTCAATGTATTCCTTTCCAGGTAAGTTGCTCTTTTTCTCTCTCCCTCTCCCCCTTAAGTTGTTGTATTCAACATAATGCAAGCTCAAAGCAATAGAACATCATGATAACGATACCTCTCAAATCATTTGATTTTGTCTCTTTTCACCCTGCAGATTCCCAGGGACCGCACAATTTCTGCCCCATCAACAGTCATTCTCAAGTTATTTGTAAACTTCGTGTCCCACAGTTTCCCAGTCAACAAATACGTGCAAATTGAGAAACCAAAGCCTCTGATTTTCATCCAGACGGACAAACCAATCTACAGAGCGGGACAACAAGGTAAAGGGCGACTCCAGCTCCCAAAATTCTTGCTTTTCTAACCCTTTCAAAACTTTATCGTTACAATTTTTACAGGTTTTATTTTACAAATTTTAGAATTTCCATTGCTAAGCCAGGCGATTGTTAAGCGAGTCACGCCTGACTTTTACGACCTTTCTTCCCCCTGGTTGTTAAGCGAATCACTGCATTTGTGAAGTGAATGGTACCATTGTGAAGCGAATCTGACTTCTGATTTTTAAATTTTTATTTCTTATACAAATAATGTAAATGTACATTCTCTTATACATAATTAATCCTACATAAACATATTTTCTTAAAGAGAGCATACCAATAAGACATTTTTATTGCATTCGGTGTTGCTCTTCTACCCTTTCCTTTCCCTCATTTCACAACAAACCTTCTCCTCCTTCTTCCTTTCCCTTCCCTCCCTCCTCTCCTCTCCTCCTTTCTTCCTCCTCCTCTCCTTCCTCTTTCCTACTTCCCGTTTCTTTCCCCCACTCCTCCCCTCTTTTCCCCTTTCTCTCCTACTTCTCTCCCCTGTCCTTTCTTTCCCTCCTTTCCCCTTTCTTCCCTTCCTCTCACTCCCTCTCCTCTTCATACCCTCTATTCCTCTCTCCTTTGTGGAATATATTTCCTCTTTGGTAACTGAGCAACTCCAATATTCTAATAATATATACTTTCTTTTCAATTTCTTTTCATTTTTAACCAACTTGTCACTTTTATCATTGTAATTGTACATTTATACTTATACTCTTCTTTTGTTTCCCCCCTCCCCCTTTTTCATTTTCTCTGGTGTCCTCTAGATTTTTATTTCTTTTTTGATCTCTCCATCATTTATCTTTCTATTATCTCCATTATTCATCTATCATTTTTTATTCATATTTCTTTTCTAACCATTCATAAAATCTTCCCCATGTCTTGAAATACACCGATTCCTCTCTATCTTTTATTCTTAGTTAATCTATTCATTTCCGCACAGTCTAAAATCTTTTTTATTACTTCACCTTCTGACGGGATTTTTTCTGTCTTCCAGTTTTGCACAAATACAATTCTTGCGGCTGTTATTCTATGTATAATTAAATACACATCTTCTTTACTATATATCTCTGGCAGAATACCCAATAAAAAACCTCTGGTTTTAATTCTATAGGTTTATGTAACATTTCCTCCAACCATGTCTGTATTCTAGACCAATAATTTTTTGCTTCTGTACATGACCACCACATATGATAATACGATTGCAGCAAATGTGAACATTTCCAACACTTGGCTGATTTATCCTTAAACATTTTTGCTAATCTTTCCGGTGGCATATGCCATCTGTAAAACATTTTATATAAATTTTCTTTATACTCAGTTGCCATTGTCAATTTATAATTCCTTTCCCATAGTTTATTTATTTATTTATCTGTTTAAATTTCTATACCGCCCTTCTCCAATATAGGACTCAGGGCGGTGAACAGCCAAAGTAAAAACAAAACATACAAAATCTAAAAACTGTTTAAAATAATTAAATATTCTGGCCGTAATTAAAAAATTCCAATTTAAAATCAGTTTAAAATTTAACTCAAGCCAGCCCAGCTAGCTGAAATAAATGGGTTTTCAGGGCCCGACGAAAAATCCGGAGGTCTGTTATTGTACGTATCTCTGGGGGGAGGTTGTTCCAGAGGGTGGGCGCCGCCACAGAGAAGGCTCTCCCCCTGGGGGTCGCCAGCCGACATTGTCTGGCGGACGGCACCCTGAGGAGGTCCACTCTGTGTGAGCGTACTAGCCGGTGGGAGGCTATTGGTGGCAGAAGGCGGTCTCGTAAATACCCCGGCCCTGAGCCATGGAGCGCTTTAAAGGTGTTGCCATTTCTCTAATTCTATTGCATAACCAAAGTTTTTTGCCCATGTTATCATTGTCTCTTTAACTTCTTCATCTTCTAGTCTAATTTGCAACAAATAATTGTACAGTCTTTTAATCATTTTTTCATCTTTACCAGTCATTATCTGATCCAACTCTGATTCCCCCAAATTAAAACCATATTGTTTCAAATCTTTATCATATCTTGATTGTATCTTCAGCCATGTATACCAATCAGTCTCAATCCCTTGTTTTTCTAAATCTTGCTTCTGTTTTAATTCTCCCTTCTCTGTTAAAATGTCTTTATATTTTACAATCTTGTCCATATTAATCATATTTGAATGTGTCAACACTTCTATTGTTGAAAGCCACATTGGTATTTCCATAGATTGTTTTTCTTTTACTCTCTCCCATATCACTAACCAACCATTCCTTACGCAATGTCTCTGAAAGTATCCATGTATCCTATTTTTTCCATACCATAATTTTTTTTAAATTTATGGTATGGAAATTTTAAATTTGTCGGGGCCAAAATTATTTAATTTGATTTTATTCTATTTTTAAATTTTGTATGTATGTGTTTTTATTGTTTGGCTGTGCACCACCCTGAGTCCTTCGGGAGTAGGGCGGTATAGAAATCTAATAAAATGAAATGAAAATGAAATGAAATAAGAAAGCATGCCAACCTAGTTGTAAATCATGTCCTTCCAAAGTCAATAGTCTTGTATTTCTCAATAAAATCCATTCTTTAATCCAAGTTAGCATCGCCGCTTTGTGATACACTTCCCAATTTGGTAGACCAAACCCTCCTCTAGTTCTAGAATCTTGGAGCAATTTAAGATTAATTCTTGCTTTTTTCCCTTGCCGTATATATTTCCACATCATTTTATTTAAATTCTCAAAATATTTCTTCTCCAACTTTATCGGAATTGTTTGAAAGACAAACAACAGTCTTGGCAATACATTCATTTTGATTCTTCCCATTAAAGATAATTGGAATTTTTTCCATTTTTCCAAGTCTGTTTCAATTTGATTTCTCAGTTTATAATAATTATCTTCCTTCACTGTAATGCATCTTGAAGTTAATTGGATGCCCAGATATTTCACTTTCTTCACTATTTGAATATCTAGTTTCTCCGTTAGTTGCTTCTTTTGTTTTTCTCTCATATTTTTAACTATAATTTTTGTCTTATCTTTATTTATTTTCAATCCGGCTACTTCTCCATATTCCTCTATTTGCTCAGTTGGCTTTGGGCTGGTTTCTATTGGTTCTTCCATAATGAATACTAAATCATCCGCAAATGCTTGTAGCTTATTTTCTTCTTTTTAAATTCTAAACCCTTTTATTTCTTTATCTTATCTTGTTTTTCTATTTAAAATTTCTAGAGTCAAAATAAATAATAGTGGAGATAGTGGACATCCTTGTCTAGTTCCTTTTCTTATTTCTATTTTTTCTGTTTTTTCATCATTTATTATTACTTTTGCTGATTGGTCTTTATATATAGTCTTAATCATATTTATAAATCTATCCCCAAAATCCATCTTTTGTAGTTGTAAAATCATGAATTGCCAATTCACATTATCAAATGGTTTCTGTGCATCTAAGAATAACAGTGCCATTTGTTGCTCTGAATGTGCCTCGTAGTATTCCAATGTATCCAATATAATTCTTATATTGCCTCTAATTTGTCTTTTAGGAAGAAAACCATTTTGATCTAAATGTATAAATTCATTTAACAACCTCTTCAATCTTTCTGCCATAATTGGTGCAAATATTTTATAATCTGCATTTAATAGTGAAATTGGTCGATAATTCTTCATTTGTTGTAAATCTTTTTCTTCATTTGGTATAAGAGTTATATATGACTCCATCCATGAGTTCGGTACCTTGGCTTCTGTTAGTAAATCATTAAATATTTGTAGCAGTGTATTGCTTAGTACATCCTGCAACTTTTTATATAATTCTGCGGATTTTTATATAAGTCCGCGGGTTTTTCCATTCTTCTGCTTTTTAATTCCCTCAATCAATACCATAATTGATATTCTTTCTTCTAATGCTTTTTAAAATTGTTCTGGTATTTTGGGAGTCTTTACTTTTTCCAAATATTGTTCTATTTTTCCTTCTGGTGCCTGCTTTTGTTGATATAGTTTCTTACAGTATTCCTCAATTATTTATTTCTTTTCCTCATTTCAATGGCATATCTTTCCCTCTTGATCTAATAATTGGCTTATCAATTTCCCTTCTTTTTCCTTCTTCATTTTATATGCTAACCATCTTCCTGGTTTATTTGCATTTTCAAAAAAGTTTTGCTTTGATGATTTTATTTTCCTTGCCAGGTCTTCATTTTCTATTAAATATTCTGGAAGTGGGGAGATAGCTTTATTCCTCTCCCTCCCCTCTCCTCTTTGCCAATTCTCTTTAATTTAGATACTTTTAAAAGTTCAGGAGAAAAAAAATTAAAGGAACCTTGTTTCCAAGACTTCACTCTCTCACCCAGATGATAACCTCGTTCTTCTTCCTCTTCTTGTTTATGGCTGCCCCAGCTTTTGACAGCTCCGATGGCTGCCTTCCCTTGCCGCTGGGTTGGAGACTGATGCCGGCACTTCAGGGAACTTGTGCTTTCCCTATCTGTGCCAGCCTGTGCCTCCATTCTTCACTGTCCCTACAGGACATCCATGATCCCTGGGGATCCCCAAAATTGGTTGAGATATTGGTGTTCTCCCGGAGGTCTGGAATCCACACTGCATCGCCCCCCCTCCTGACTTCTCTTGATCCCTTTGTCGGAAGCTGGTTGGTAAGGCTGCAAATAGGGATCACATGATTCCCAGATGCTTGTAACTATTATAAATGCATGCTGGTTGCCAAATGTACAATTTTTGATCATGGGGTCGTGAAGAGTCTGTGATGGTCAGAACTGTGAGGATAAATTCCCGTATTCCTGTATTCATTCCCTGTTTCTCCTCTTGCCTCTGTGTGAGCATAACCTGAAGCTGGGTGTTTTTTTTTAAAAAAAAAATTATTGTAAACTTTATTAGCTGCCTATCTTACCACATCATAACTCTGGTCGGCTTACAATATTAAAAGTTAAAACGGTATAAAACTTAATGATATAAATATAATATGATAAAATTCAACCTAGCTAAAAAGATGAGAAGGGGAGGGAATGGGATGTGTCCCCAGTGTGAACTCCCTCCATGGGAGCCTCCAAAGCTGGTGGGGAAGAATAATTATGTATCAATGCATTGAGTACAGAAGAGCTTTACAATATTCAATGCAGCCTACTTATTGCCACAAAAAGTAGCAGAAACTGAGGCTGAAGGTTCATTCTCCGAGCTTGTTGGTTGGTTTCTGAACGTTTCATTACCGGGCTAGGTAACATCTTCAGCCGAATTTAGGGGATGTCAGTATTCTTGTGTTTACATCACAAGACCCTCACTTGACACCCACACACCGGAAGCCCTTAGAAACAGAAGAACATTGACACTGACATCCCCTGAACATGGCTGAAGATGTTACCTAGCCTCGTAACGAAACGTTTGGAAACCAACCCACAAGCTCGGAGAACGAATCTATACTCGAGCTACAGGTATTCGCCAATGTGGCAGAAAATGTTGGAAAATGACTGTGGGCATTTTCATTTTCGTTCACACCCACCCCATCTCCTCTATGTCAGACCCTATGCCCAGATCAGAGCAAGCATGTACACCCTGCTCAAATACCCACAATATGGGGATAACAAATGTAAATGATGAATATCTAATAAAATTAATGCCATCTCCTTGGGAAAGTTGGTTTTGAAGGGCGCAGTATCATTTAAAACAGGGGTATCAAACTTAAAGCCTGCAGGCCGAATCTGGCCCACAGGGTGTTTAGATAATAATAATAATAATAATAATAATAATAATAATAATAATAATAATAATAATAATAATAATAATAACAACTTTATTGTTATTGTACATGTATACACAGTATACCCATACAAAGAAATTCGCTTAACACCCAAAGACCAGGTCCAACACACATAACAATCCCCAAACACACTCCCACCCATCACAATTCCCCACCCCTAAACCACCCAAACATTCACACAACAGACCAAGTAATGCTGTCCAACAGCTCACTGATGGTGGCCCTTTAGTTCATTGTTGAGTGCAATTATAGCTCTGGGATAAAAACTATTCAGAAAATGTATGGTCCGAGTTTTAATTGTTCTGTATCTTCTGCCAGAAGGCAACAGTCCAAAAAGATTGTAAGCAGGATGGGAAGAGTCTCTGAAAATGTTATGCAACTTTCTCAAACAGCAAGATTCGAAGATGTCATCCAGGGCTGGTAGCTGGAGTCCGATGATATTCTGGGCAGTTTTAATGATTCTCTGTAGAGGTTTTTTGTCCGCTACAGAGCTGCTCCCATACCATGCAAGAATGCAATATGTCAGGACACTCTCAATGGTGCTGCAATAATAGGACAGAAGTAGATGCTGAGATAGATTTATCTTCCTGAGCATTCTCAGGAATTACAGCCTCTTCTGTGCCTTCTTCACAAGCATGTTAGCATTCAGAGTCCATGAGAGGTCCTTCGAGATATAAATGCCCAGAAATTTAAAACTACCAATCCTCTCCTCTGATTTATACCCAAATTGGACATTTTAAGAAACAACCTGTTGGGTAAAATGGTATTAAAGGCAGAGCTATAATCCACAAATAACAGCCTCGCATCTGGCCCCAGGGGCCACCCTGGAAACAAAGAAGGACTAACCTGCAGTGCTCTGCCAGCGAAAACAGAGCTCGGGAGCCGATTTTTGCTGGCAAAGCACTCTAGCCACCACAGGCGCCGATACGAGTGATGTCGAGCTGCTCCCCCCCCACCCAGGTCAACACAACCCTGATGCAGTCCTCAATGAAATCGAGTTGGACACCCCTGATTTAAAACATTAATAATAAAAACAATAACAATAAACTTTAACATCATCAAACATACTCTGGGTCTTTGGGAATGTCTCATATTGCTTTGAGTGGCTTTGGAAGGCGCTATGCCTTTTGATGAATAGCAAGAGAAATGGAAATAAGATTCATTCTTATACACTGTTCACGGTGTCCCCAATTTTGCCTGTGGCATCTTTCAATTTGGCCAGACAACTGTTTTTCAGCTTTGCTGATGTGTAATAAATAAACATCAAAGGACATTTTTGCTCGGTGAATTGAGCGGTGGAAGAATTTGTTTGCTTGCTCTGATCTTGGTGTGTGCAAACTACAGGTAGCTCTTGACTTACAACAGTTCATTTAGTCACCGTTCAAAGTTACAACAGCAGTGAAAAAAGTGACGTATGACCATTTTTCACAGTTACAACATTTGTCGCCTCCCCATAATCCTATGGTCAAAATTTAGATGCTTGATAACTGACTCATATTTATGACGGCTGCAGTGTCCCAAAGTGATGTGATCACTTTTTGGGACTTTTGGACGAAGTCAACGGGGAAGAGTCAGATTCACTGAACAACCAGGTTACCAACTGATCAACTGCAGGGGTTCACTTAACAGCCAAGGCAAGAAAGGTTGCAAAATGGGGCAAATGTCACTTAACAAATGTCTCACTGAACAATGAAAATGTTAGGCTCAATTGTGGTCGTAAGTTGAGGACTACCTGTATGCCACCTGGAGATGACCCATAATCCTTTCCCAACACTATCTACTGAGGGGAATAGAGCCAGGATAGGCATAACCACCTGACTTCTTTAATGTCAGGAATCCTCCTTGTTCTTCTCTGGTTGGCTGGACTCTGCACTTCATCAAGGAAAAGAGACAAACCAGAGTGTCTCCAGAGGAGGGCAACCAAAGGGAAGGAGGATAAAAATATCTATGATAAATGATTGGAGATACTGGGTATGCTCTTCACCTTGGAGTAGAGAAGACTATGTGGAGGTCTGACGGCGGTCATCATGCATCTCTTAGCTGCTCAATTTTGGGGGAATTGAGCAATTTCTAGGAGGCATGAAACAATGGTCTAAATGTCAGAAAGGTACATTATGACTGCGCATCAGGGGAAAAAATGTCTTAATGGAACTGGATGGCCTTGACTACTCAGGAGGAAGGATTGGAGGAAGGATTTAAAGAAAAGCTGGATGGCCACCTACCAGGAATGCTGCAACAGTGTATTACTGCCCTGGGCAGGAGTCAGATTAGTGTTTTTCAACTGTAGCAACTTGAAGATGTTTAGACTTCAGTTCCCAGAATTCAACAGCCAGCACAGAATCTTCTGGAAAGACCCCATGCCTGGCCGGGGAATTCTGGGAGCAGAAGTCCACACGTCTTCAAATTCTCAAGTATGAGAAAACACTGGAGTAAATGATCTCCAAGATCCCTTCTATATTTTAATATTTGTATATTCAGTGGCTACTTTCCCCACATATTCTCTCTCTTGTCTTTTGCAGTTCGGTTTCGCATCGTCTCCATGGATAAAGATTTCCGTCCTACGAAGAAGAAGGTAAATTTTGAGGGGTACTAAGACAAATAGAGACGGTGGCATCTCTGTGCGAAAACATTCAATTCATGCTCTCCCCTGGGTCAATTCCCCTCCAGGGGAATTGTATGGAGCCCTCCCTCCTCACCTAAAACATTGAAGCCAGTGTGTGTGTGAAGATACCCCTGGGTGGAAACTAGTGAAGACTAATGGAGTAATTGAAGGCTTTGGATTAGTGCTGACCTTAAATTTACTCTTAGTCATGAAAACTGGCTGGGTGACCTTGTGGCTATGCACTGTCAACCAATCAACTTCACAGGGTGGTTGTTATGGGTGCGTGTGCGGGAATTCTAAGAGTAATTCCTTGAGGTGAGGCAAGATACAAATAAATACATATCAAAACCATAATGCAACATAAAAGAAACTCCCATGCCCCTTTTTTCTACCTATTCTTTTTCTCTATCCTCATTTTCATTCCTTAGTGTCTCTGATTTTCCTGTGGGTTTTTTTTTGTCTCCACAGTTTCCAGTTGTGTACATCCAGGTATGTGCTGGAAGGCCATAACAGTGTCAGCTCCATGGCTGATTGGACCTCATTGATCTCTGGATGGGAGGCCACTAGGAAATATGAGGGCTACAGGCTCTTGGGAAATCAAAATGAGCAACCATTTCCAGATCGTTGTCCAGAAGATGATACAAGGAGATCTCTTGGTGACGAGGGAGAGATATTTTTAAAGTAGCTAATATCAAGTCCTGTTTCACTTCATTAAGAATGGGGCTATTTCACACAGTCCCATAAAGTAGCAAAATTAATTCTGTTGGGAAATGAGGGAAATTTTGTCTTTGACAGGTCCATTCCTATCTTCTTTACAAGGAATTGGGATGAATGAGAATCCTTTCCTTGCATTTGATCACAGAAACAGTAGCATCGATCAAGAAATCAACTAAAGACATGAATCAACTTCCTGCATAAAGTAGTTCATAGGTTTAGTGCTATTTCTGGGCTGCAATTCTTCAAGGTGTCCACTAGATGGCAGCAGAATGGTGAGCTACTCAGTGAACACATTCCTTCCATCTAGTGGTCCTCTGGAGTAATGCAGTGCTGATCTGGCAAACAGCTGAGAGGATTGTTTTGTTTCACTCCTTTCTTTCTTAAATTAGTGGCTCTAAAGTTGTTAAAGTGTTTAGGGAACTATGTCCCAGCCTCCCTCAGCTTGTACAATCTGAGCTCGAACATCCCTTTGTCTAATGGTAGAGCCTTCTTGCTAAAAGCAATAGCACTTAGACTTATATACCGCTTCACAGTGCTTTACCCCCCCTCTCTAAGCGGTTTACAGAGTCAGCATATTGCCCCCAACAATCTGGGACCTCGGAAGGATGGAAGGCTGAGTCAACGTTGAGCTTGGTGAGATTTGAACTGTCAAATTGCAGGCGGCTGGCAGTCAGCCGAAGTATCTTGCAGTACTGCATTCTAACCACTGCGCCACCACGGCTCTACGACCTACAGCCACCATTTCCAACTTGAGGCCTTCAGAAAATTAGGGAGTACAACTCCCTGAATTTCCAGCCAGCACAGCAATTGTCCTTGCTGGGTGCAGATCCTGAGAGTTTAATCCCAATACATATGTGGGCTTCTGGTAGGCTGTCATATCTAAATACACTGCTACCATGTTTTCCCAAAAATAAGCCCTCCCCAAAAATATTTAAATGCATGCACAGTTGGTCCTCGCCATTTCCTCTGGTTAGGGTTAAGGAGACAGAGCTCGAAATCAGGTAAGACAGCAAGAGGAGCCCCTTTTTGCTCCACGCGCCCCAAAATAATAACACCTCCCCAAAAATAAGGCCAAGCACTTATTTCAAGGTTCAAAAAAATATAAGACAGGGTCTTATTTTGGGGGAAACACAGTAATAGTGCTTGGAGAATGGGATTGTAGGACTACATTTTCCGGGTCATGAACCACTCATTCTAGAACAATTCTGGGTTATGGACAAACTTTGGAACTTGTTATCTTGTTCTTTCCAGGATCCCCAAAAGAACCGGGTGTTCCAGTGGAGAGATGTGGAGGTTCCGTTGGGCATAATCCAGCTTTCCTATTCTCTGACTTCCGATCCCCTCTTGGGCACCTACAAAGTGGTCATAGAGAAAGACTCCACAAAAGTTGCAGAATACAGCTTTGATGTGGACGATTATGGTAAGAAAGACATCCAGTTTGCCCTTCTTTTCTTTCTTCTTCCTTCCTTCCTTCCTTCCTTCCTTCCTTCCTTCCTTCCTTCCTTCCTTCCTTCCTTCCTTCCTTCCTTCCTTCCTTCCTTCCTGACAGTCCAGATTATTTTGTCTTGTTGAATTAAGGTGTATTTGTCCCAATGAAGTTGTAGCAGCTTAATCTGCACACTGAAGGTTTAAATGCCTCTTCATGTTGAGCTGGTAGATTAAAAAAATCATTACTCCTAGAACATTTATATTTAGGATTATTTTTAAGGATGGAAAAAGCAGGATGGAAATGGAAGGAAGGAAGGAGGGAGAGAGGGGGAAGAAAGGAAAGAAGAAGGAGGGAATGAATGGATGGATAAGTAAGTAAATAAACAAACAAATAAATATTTGGCAATGAGGGATTTAGCAGGCCAGAGACCTTACAATTCTGTTTCTTCAGTTTAATTCTAAGACTCGCTTTCTCCAACAAATTTCACATTGATCTGGTTACTCAGCTAAATTAACCCATTTTCTGAGATTAGAGATAATGTTTTACCAGCTAATCACATACAGATCACAGATGAATATGGAGTCTCTGGGCCAGGAATTTAAGATAGTGGTTGGGACAGTGGGATTGAAGCTTCACTCAAACACACACACACACACACACACACACACACACACACCGTGAAACTAATTCAATGGGTTGAACTTCTACAAAACATGAACCACCAAAACAAGGACTAATTACCTAAGATTGAAGCCAAACATATTAGAAGATTGTCCAAATGCAATTGTTAAATTCATTTGGCATCATGTTTACTGCTTTCTTAATGCAAGGTTTAATTTGTCTTACTTAGATTTACAGTTTACTTTTCCTTTCAGACCTCAATTGTCTGGCCAATTTCTCCCATCTCCCCGCAAGGGAGGTCACAGGAGAGAACTGGACAGTTTGTGCTTCCATAAGGTTCACCTCATGATTTTCTTCTCTTCCTTTTCCTCTTTCCAGTTCTGCCCAAATTTGAGCTTTTGTTGAAGGCCCCGAAGCTCATCACGGTTGTGACTAAGGAAATAGAAGTCAGTGTGTGTGGCAGGTACGTGATGCTCATCTACTCTCCTTTTCCCATTGTGAGCAGAAGGCTCAAGATTTTCCTGGTGTGTGTTCTGATCCAGCCTTCACAAGGAATGATAGGCTGCTTGCTCGCGAGTAAAACAAACCCCTTTTCAAAACAGGGCAAGAACAAAAAACAAATGTTAATTAGTCCCAAGAAACCTGGTTCTGGCCAAGGAATCTGAATTGCTTGCTGTATATGAACAACAAATTGTTGTCTGTGACAACAGGCCACTCCCCAACCCCTCTTATTTATTTCCCAGCCAGGGAGAGGCTGGCTAGCATCTACGTCTCCTTTTCCCTGAGAGCTGGCTTATTGCTTTCCTTTGCTCTCCTCTCCTTTTCTCTCTACTCATACGAGCATCTGGAATGGGCCCCATCTGTTCCTCCTCTTCACTCAGCTCAAGCCCTGAACACAGCTGCCTCTCCACCTGGGGGATGATGGAAGGCCTTGGCTCTGCCTCTGCCGCTGTTTCCTTATCAGAACCTTCCAAAGGCTCCGAAACTGGCCCAGGCCCTCCCTCAACCTCCTCCTCATCTGACTCTGCTGCTAGCTCTGCTGGCAGCTGACAGGCCACAACAGCAAAAGAAAGGGAGGATGGAAAATCTGCTCCTGTTCAGGTTTTATTTTTATTTAATTTGTCGAACATGTACTAGATAACTGGTATAAGTATTAACATGGACATGAACCAGGAATGAGTACAAGTAAATGGGGACAGTAGGACAGGGATGGTAGGCACGATGCACGCCCCCTTTACGGACCTCTTAGGAATGTGGTAAGGTCCACGGTAGACAGCTTAAGGTTGAAGCTGTGGGGGTTAGAGGATGTAACAATGGAGTCAGGTAGTGCATTCCAGGCATTGACCACTCTGTTGCTGAAGTTGCATTTTCTGCAACCGAGTTTTGAGTGGTTTACTTTGAGTTTGTATCTATTGTTTCCCTGTGTATTATTGCAGTTGAAGCTGAAGTAGTATTGACAGGTAGGACATTGTCGCAGACAATTTTGTGTACTACACTTAGGTCAGACCGTGGGCAGCGTAGTTCTAGGTTTTCCAATCCCAAAATTTTGAGCCTGATGGCATAAAGTATTCTGTTGTGAGCAGAGGAGTGGAGTACTCTTCTCATGAAGTACCTCTGGACTCACTCAATTGTGTTAATGTCTGATATAGTGTGGATTCCAGGCAGATGAGCTATATTTGAGAATTGGTCTGGCAAAGGTTTTATATGCCCTAGTTTGCAGTACAATGTTACTGGAGAAGAAGCTTCACAAAATTAGGTTAATAACTCTTAATGCCTTTTTGGCAATACTGTTACAGCATCTGGGGCTTAGATTGTTTGAGAGGAGTACTCCTAGGTCCTTGACAGAGTGAGGGTTGCTACGAGGTCATATCCGCCCAGCTTGTATTTGGTGTTCTGATTTTTGTTGCCAATGTGTAAAACATTTGTTGGTTGAGATTTGGAGTTGTCAATTGTTTGACCATTCAGATACATAGTCAAGGTCGCTTTGTAGGGCAACAGTATTGTTAGTGGTGTTGAATCAGTGGTGAAATCTTGCCGGTTCTGTCCGGCTCGCACAAACCGATAGCAGTGGTGGTGCATGGTTTGGTGAACCGGTAGCGGCAGCAGCATGAGGCTCCACCCACATGCAGTTACTTCCTGGTTTTTAATCCTCTGGGCATGCACAAAGCCTTCTGCACATGCACAGAGGGTCAAAAATTGGATGTGATGATGGTGCGCGCACACTTCCAAACCGGTAGGGAAGGTAAATAGATTTCACCCCTGTGTTGAATAGTTTTACGTCATCAGCGAAGAAGATGCAGCTTCTTATAATATGATCGCAAAGGTCATTTATGTAAAGCAGAAAGAGTGTGGGTCCTAAAACACTGCCTTAGGGGACACCACTATTAACTGTTACAGGGTCTAATAGGGCGCTCCCTATTTTGACTACTTGTTGTCTATTTGACGGGAATGTGGCTATCCACTTGTGTAGGGGTCCGAAAATGCCATAAGAGCTTAGTTTTAACAGTAATTTGTCGTGTACCACTGAATCAAAGGCTTTGCAGAAGTTTATATAAATTGTGTCTATTGCTTTACCCTGGTCAAGTTGTGTGGTCCAAATGTTTCTGCAGTGTAGGAGTTGCAGATTACAGGACAAATTTTTCCTGAAACCAAACTGCTTGTTAGAGAGTAGATTGTTTGTCTCTAAGTGGAGGGTGATGGATTAGTTTATAACTGATTCCATGACTTTGCAGGTGACACAACACAGTAAGATTGGTCTGTAATTTTTTACTAGACTGGGGTCTCCTTTTTCCAAGATTGGAATGACAGTGGTTAATGACCATAGGTTGGGCAAGGAACTGGTTCTGAAAGATACCTTATAGATTGTGCTTACCATGTTTCCCCGAAAATAAGACCCTGTCTTATATTTTTTTTGAACCCCGAAATAAGTGCTTGGCCTTATTTTCAGAGATGTCTTATTATTTTTGGGCGCGTGGAGCAAGATGGAGCTCCTCTTGCCATCTTATCTGATTTCCAGCTCTGCGTTTAAATATTTTAGAGGAGGGCTTATTTTCGGGGGGAGGCTTATTTTAGTGCATGCGATCAAAAGCCCGATTGGGCTTATTATCAGGGGATGTCTTATTCTTTGGGGAAAAGGGTAGAGGTTCGGCTATGGCAGTGGAAAGCTTTTTCAAGACGTTTTGCTCGCTTCTTGGTGTTTTCATGCCCATATAGGTTTCTTGACAGAGACACGGGAGTGGTTTGATGTTGTTTTCTTCTGAGAATGTCATATTCAGTATCCCAGCCTAGGATCTCCTGGTGGCCTCCTATCCAAATACTGAACAGGCCATATCCTGCTCAGGCTCAGAGATCAGCCAAGGTTGGCTTTGCATTGCCCCCTTGTGGAGCATAGATAGAAAGGCACAATAGTGATGAAGGTGATGATGATGATGGTAATAATTTACTTCCTTCTGAAGGAAACCGGAGCGCAGTAAAAAAAAAATCTTTTATAAAAAAAATAACAAGATAAAATAACCCATAGGTATAAATAAATATACCTGGAGGCTCTGGAGGTAATAAACCTAATAGATAAATACTGATGAAGCTGGTGAGAGAACATGTATAACAGTATTAAGCAGAGTTCCCTTTAAGGCAGTCTAGTCCTAGTCAGGTTGTTATTATGAAAGGCTGGGTGAACAAGGCTTGTTTAAACAAAGAGAATATAAACAAGCAGAAAGAACAAAAAAAAAAAAAAAGAATGAAAAAATTCTGGCTGCAAGATTTGCTCTTTAATAGTATCGGGAAATTGCCCAGAGTCATTCTGGTCTGAGATGATGGGTAAATGGCAAAAATAACATAATACAATATAATATAAAATCAATGATAACCTGACATAATAAAAAGATAACTAATTATGAAAGAAAGAAAAATAAGAAATACAATACATGACAACACAGAAGGTTAAAGCAATCTAAAGCAAAGCCAGACTTAGATATATATGTGCTATTAAAATAATAAATTAAAAAAAAAATGAATGCAAGAAACTAACCTACGCAAGAAATTGGAAACAAGAAAAAATACCAAGTGAAACAGAAGTAATAGGAAAAATTTTAGAATGCGCTGAAATGGATAGGTTAACCAAAGAATTACAAGAAAAAGAAGAATCAGACTATTATAAAATATGGAATAATTGGTATAATTGGTTAAAAATTAGAAATATACAAAATATATAGGGGATATATTACCGATTGATACATATATATGTAATAAAAAATATTATTAGATTAAAGAGAGGTGAAGGAATATATTATAAGTAGAATTGTAGAACGTCACTCTGAAAAAATGCTTAAGAAGAAATTACACTCTTTTTGTATATATGTTGTATAAATGTTTGTTGTGTATATGTTACGTATGTCTTTTTTAATATTTATATTCAATAAAAACTATTTAAAAAAAAAAATGAATGCAGGCAAGTATCTGTGTCCCAGGATAATGTTGTGGGATCCAATCTGAGTCAGTCACCGGGACCAGAGGTTCAGTCTTCCAAGTTTTGGAGTCATGCTGGAGTCCATCCTCAGGGAAGTACTCTCTCTCTCTCCAGAATGTGTGCAATAAGCTGTTCTATGCCTAGTATTTATGTAGTGCCTAGTTCTGTGTGGCTCTTTGTTGTTAATTGCAAACAACAATTGTTTTTGTTTGCGTCTGGTATTGGTATTGACATCTGGCTGTTAAGTTGCTGGTTGTTGTTTCTCTGGCTATTAAGACATTGGTTATTATTTCCCTGGTTGGTTGTTGTTTGGAAACAAAAATGGTTTAATATCTGGCCATCAATACCCCAATTAATTAAAGTCATACATAACTGGGCACCATATAAATAGTACACATAGAAAAGAGCCCAGTGGCCACATTCTGGAGGGGAGAGAGGGGGAGGGAGAGAAAGAGAGAGAGGGAGAGAGAAAGAGAGGGAGAGAGAGGGAGAGGGAGAGGGAGAAAGGAGAGGGAAAGAGAGAAAGAGAGAGGGAGAAAGAGAGAGAGGGAGTGAGGGAGGCAGAGAGAAAGAGAGGGAGAAAGAGAGAGAGGGAGAAAGAGAAGCAGAGAGAAAGAGAGGGAGAGAAATAGGGAGAGGGAGAAAGAGAGAGGGTGAGAGAGTTTTTTTATGGATGATCTCCAGCCTGGCACCGAAAGTTTGGAAGACTAAATCTCTGGACTAACTCAGATTGGATCTTGTAAAAAACAACAACAAATACCCACATGGCTTCCTTTGGATCCTGCAGGTTCCTTTCCTTTGATCTTCTTTCTTTATGCAAACCATCTCCCTCTCTGTGTTTTTGCCCATCTTGGTGGGTTCTGACTCTAGGTACACTTATGCAAAACCAGTGCCTGGCCTGATGAAACTGAGGCTCTGCCGGCATCCCAAAAGCGTGCCTCATCAGTGTAAAACCGATGAGAGTCTGTGTAAAGAATATGAAGGCATGGTAAGGGACGTCGGGTTTCCACAGCTGGGATAGCTTTGTAGACCTATTTTAAACCTATTTCTTTGCTGTTGTTATTTAAAAATGGGGATTATGTTTTCTTGATTCACTCCGGCAAATAGTAGGGAGGGTCATATTCAGACAATTGTTGAGACAATTGAAAATATTCAATGCTCGCTCTATGGAAACTGTATGGAAAAAAATAGCAAAAAGAGATATCATTCTTCCCCCATTTTCAACCATGTTTCTTTCAATTAAATTGCTCTGCATTGAAACAGAGTAGAGTGGAGTGGAGTGGAGTGGAGTGGAGTGGAAGGGAAGGGAACAGAACAGAACAGAACAGAACAGAATAGAATAGAATAGAATAGAATAATAGAGTTGGGAGGGATCTTGGAGGTCTTCTAGCCCAATCTCCTGCTCAGGAAGGAAATCCTATACCCGTGATGGTGAACCTATGGCATGCGTGCCACAGGTGGCATGGATGGCCATATCAGTGGGCATGAGAGCTCAGCTCTTCTGGGCCCACCAGAAGTTGTCAAATGGGCCATTTTCAGTCTCAGGAGGATCTCCGGGGTGGGGGGGGAGGCTGTTTTTGCCCTCCCCAGACTCCTAGAGAGGCCCTGGAGCCAGGTGAGAAAGAAAAAGGGGCCTACTGGGCCATCGTGTGCCAGAAGTGGGGGACAGCGGGAGGGGGGTGCACAGGGGCAGGGCGCATAGAATTACGGGTGTGGATATATGTGCGCAACCCCCTGCTCCCCCTTCCTGGCACTCGATGGCAAAAAGGTTAGCCATCCCTGCCCTATACCATTTCAGACAAATGGTTGTCCAATCACTTCTTAAAAACCTCCAGTGTTGGAGCATTCACAACTTCTGGAGGCAGGTTGTTATTTGCAAAGGGATCACAGGCTGCTCTTTCTTGGTTGTTGTGGCATGCAGGCAGATGGAGACGGCTGTTTCTCCAAGGTGGTGAACATGGAGGAGTTCCAACTGAGGTGGCTCGGCTTTTCGATGGCCATCGCCATAGAAGGCAAAATCACAGAGGAAGGGACAGGTAACCTTCATGAAACAGAAGAGCACCAATGGGCTGACAGAGCCAGTCCTAAAGCTTCCATTTCTTACAAGAGATAGCAATAGCAATAGCACTTAGACTTACAGTTTTTGCAGTGCTTGGTGGCACAGTGGATAGAATGCAGTACCGCAGGATGCTTCTGCTGAATGCCGGCTGCCTGCAATTTGACAATTCGAATCTCACCAGGCTCAAGGTTGCCTCAGCCTTTCATCCTTCCGAGGTGGGTAAAATGAGGACCCAGATGGTTGGGGGCAATAGGCTGACTCTGTAAACCGCTTGAGAGGGCTGTAAAGCACTGTGAAGTGGTATATAGGTCTAAGGGCTATTGCTATTACAGTGCTCTCTAAGTGGTTTACAGAGTCAGCCTATTGCCCCCAACCATCTGGGTCCTCATTTTACCCACCTCGGAAGGCTGGAAGGCTGAGTCAACCTTGATAGAAAAAAAACACCCCCTGTCTAAGTCTAAGAGAGTAGTGGCGTCTCAGTTATAAATGAGAAAATTATTCTCTGCTCCAATACCCATTTCACAGACAGTGAAGTGATGAAATTTTGTGGGGGGAAAGAAATCAGCTGGTTGAAAGCACTCTGAGGCATACCAATCAAATTTGATATCCCATGAAGAGTGTGATGGCTCAGTGGTTAAGACTCTGGGCTTATCAGCTGGAAAGCTGACAGCTCAGGTTCGAGTCCTGAGCATTGCAGGATTGGGTGAGCTCCTATCCTCGCCCCAGCTCCTGCCAACCTAGCAGTCTGAAAGCATGCAAATGTAGGTAGAAAAATAGATATCTCTTCAGCGGAAAAGGTTACCGCGTTACATACTTTTCTGCTGGCCACATGATGACGGAAGTGTCTCTCAGACAACAGATTCCCTAGGCTGAGAACTGGAGATGCGCGTTACCCCTTTGAGCCACTCATGACTGGACAGGGAGAAACCTTTAAAGGGCTACTGAGTGCCAAATTCAAACCAACAGAGGGAATTAGTATGTCAGAGAAATCCCAAAGGTGCTTTTTCAAGAGGCAACTGGACTTTCTTGTTTTTCTTTGAAGATCTTTCACTTCTCATCCAAGTAACTTCTCCAGTTCCCTGAAGGAGTTTCTTGGATTGAGAAGCGAAACGTCTTCAAAGAAAAACGAGAAAGTCCAGTTGCCTCTTGAAAAAACACCTTTGGGACAATCATGACTTGGATGACTGAGAATCTTCATAGACACGTCAGAGAAATCTGCACATGGGGCGGCCCTGGAGATCGTCTATTCCAACCCCTTGTCCAAAGCAGAAATCCAAATGTCCGTCAAAAGAATCAGGCTTCTTGGCACTCCAGAGACAAGGAGTTTCTGGGAAATTGGAGAGGAAGGGAATGAAACAGCCTTTTGCAGATGACATTTCTCTTCAACAGGAGTGGAGCTGAATGGCACAGAATCCATTGAGATCACGTCCACGTTGAGCAAAATTACCTTTGAAAACCCAGACCGTTACTATAAACCCGGCATGCCCTATGTCGTGAAGGTAAGATGAGAGCTACGGGTTCTCTGCATAGCTGGATTTAAGCCGTATCAGCCCTCCAGTCTGCTCCAATGCCATTTCTTCACCCTAACAGCTGCTGGCCAGGTGCTCTGAGCTAGAATGATCAAAAGCAGTGTAAAAGCATTGAGGAGTACAGAATAACAGACTTGGAAGGGACCTTGGAAGTCTCGTAGTTCAGGGGTCCCCTTTCCCTGGTCCATGACCCAATACCGGCTCTCAGCATGCCAGAAACAGGGCTGCACAAACAAGCGAAGCCCCATCCGTAGGATGCAGGCAGCATGTGAAACCATGCCCTCTCTGGTCCGTGGAAAAGCCTCTCTCCTTCGAACGGGTCTCTGGTGCCCCAAAGGTTGGGGGCCGCTGTTCTAGTTCAATCCCCTGCTCAAGCAGGAGATCTTATACCATTTCAATCGAAGTAGGGAGGGAGCGTGGGAGGGAAGGAGGGACAAAAGACCTCCGCTCCAGGATGGTGGGATTATCCTTCAGAGCAAAGCCATTCAGCCACAAACGAAGCCCCATCATTGTATCAACGTAAAGTGTCAACCAAACTTGAATCATAACCCATGACCCCACATGGCCACATGGGAGTCTACAACCAATCAGAATACATGCCCTTGCAACAGGAACAGGAAACTCAAATTCAAAGCTCGAGAGAGGCTATAAATCTCTCTCTCTCCCCCCATATGCTCATTTGCTCAGGACCCAAAAAACGCATGTGGTCCTGTCCACCATTAAACCACCTTTCCAAGCAGCTTCCATGTTTCCAGTGTCTTTCTCTCCACTTGGAACTGAATCCAGATGGACATTTCTTCCAACAGATGTTAGTTAGTTAGTTAGTTAGTTAGTTGGATGGATGGATGGATGGATGGATGGGAAGGAAGGAAGGAAGGAAGGAAGGAAGGAAGGAAGGAAGGAAGAAGCAAGCAAGCAAACAAGCTGGTGTCTACAATAGGAACCTTTCAGCCTTTATTCATTAGCAGGATTATTAAGCAGGGGTATCCATGGGAATGATGGTGGTAGCCCCAAAAAGTCAAGATGGCAACCACCACAAAGCCCCAATCATGCCTCAGAGCAATAGCAATAGCACTTAGTCTTATATACTGCTTCAAAGTGCTTTACAGCCCTCTCTAAGCGGTATACAGTGACGGCCTATTGCCCCCAACCATCTGGGTCCTCATTTTACCGACCTTGGAAGGACGGAAGGCTGAGTCAACGTCGAGCTGCTCAGGACATCGAACTGCTGGTTGTGAGCAGTGAGTTAGCCTGCAGCTGAGGATTCAGATGGTTGGGGGCAACGTGCTGACATTGTAAACTGTCCAGAGAGTATGTAAAGCATTATGGGGCAGTATAGAAGTGCTACTGCTATTATCATCCCCTGCAGATGCTCTGCTTTGAAGCTTCCAAAGCCCTTTTTCCCTAACAAAGAGTCCGTTTATCAAACCAACCTGTAGCGCCATCTCCCAGTGGCTCCTTGCTTGTCCCCTTTCTTTCTCAGCCGCAGTCCCAAAACCTATTCCCAGGCTCAAGTCCCTCCTGCTAGTCTCCCCTTTTTCAGAGTTGTAGCGATGGGGAAAAAATTAGGATGGCTTGATGGGAAAGCTTGGCGTCCCTGAAGGAAAGGCAGAGTAGAAATTGCATTGGTAAATCCTGAAATATTTGGCCGCAACCAGTTGAGTCAATGTGTCAATCGGTTTTTCGTGTGCAGGTGAAGCTGGTAGACAGCAACGAGGTGCCAATCAACAATGGAACAGTGGAGATTTTGATAATGGCAACTCACCAGCGGCTCAATCAAGTGACGGACGCTGAGGGGAGAGCTGAATTCTCCATAGAAACCACTAATATCACAAGCGACTCTTTGTTTTTTACGGTTAGTCTTCACGATTTGCGACAGCAGTATTTTATGACATTCCCACTTGATGGTTTGTTTCTGTTGCTCCCCTCTGGGCGGAGGTTTCAAAGTATTTTTACCAGGACTATCAGATTCTGTAACAGCTTTGTTCCCTAGGCCATCCGTCTGGGAAACTCGCAAGGTTCGTTTTTCTCGCCATGTACATTTATACATCTGAACTAGACTGTGCTGTTTCTCTGTGTTATATAATATATGTGGGTATATGTATATTTTTTGTTTATTTATTTACTTATATTTTTGTCATGTTTATGTGTAGTGTATTTTGGAGATGGTGACCCTTCGAGAGCTCTATGCAACAAAATTTCATTTTAATGTATGCTGATTAGTATAGATTTAAAGTGATAATAAAGTTAAAGTTATTCTAGTTAGTTGGTTAAAAGTACTCAGGGCTCCTCCCTTTTCCCCCCTCTGTCTTTCTTTTCTCATTGTCACGGTCTTCCCCCACCCCACTTTTAAGGTGATTTTCCATCTTGCTCATTCCGAAAATACCCTGTATATTATCCTTTGAAAAGTCACCATTGAGATCCCGGCCCAGGCTTGACCCTGTCATTTCCATGGCAAGAAAGGTCCCCTGTGGCTTTATTCCCAGATGTGTTTTCAATTGACAAATCTAGTCCACAGGCTAGAAGATTTCTTTGTGGTCTCCTGTCCGTGTATGGAACAGAACAACTGACCCTGCTCAGTTCTAGATTAAAGGGGTGCAAGTGATCTTCCCTCCCCCAAAGCTGGACTTTGAGTCCTTTACTGCTTAAGGAGGGTGGGGGTCAGGGGTGGGTTCTACTTACCTTTATCACCGGTTCGCAACGGGATCGCATGCGCAGAGTGCTGATGACGACATCCAGAGCGATAGTAAAACTTCTTGCCGGTTTTACTACCGGTTCTTGCGAACCGGTCCGAACTGGGAGCAACCCACCCATCTCTCTCGCCCTTGCCAACGAAATGTTCTCAGCCAGCCTCCCACCTAATTTCTCTAAATCTGTGCTTTTCCTCTCAGGCTTCGTATCAAGACAAAACTGAGCGCAATAGCAAGCACTGGGTTACACCCCATCATGGTAAAGCAAGTTACAGGGCGTACCTGTTTTATTCTCCAAGCAAAAGTTACCTACGTATCGATCCTGTGTCAGAGACGTTAAGCTGCGGCCACCATGAGCCACTTCAGGTGCATTACATCCTTAACCGAGGTGATGAAAAGGAGGATGAGATTGTCTTCTATTACATGGTGAGTCTTCAGGCGAAGGCTGCATTCACAAGGCATGTTTGCTTCGCTTTGTTAAACAGCTATCAATCAATCGATCAATCAATCAGAATAGAGCCGGAAGGGATCTTGGAGGTCCAACCCCCTGATCAATCAGCAGACCCTATACCATCTCAGACAGGTGGCTGTACAGTCTCTTCTAAAAACCTCCAGTGATGAAGCACCCAGAACCTCTGGTGGCAAGCTGTTCCACTGGTCAATTGTCCTCAGTGTTAGGAAGTTTCTCCTTAATTCCAGGTTGCTTCTCTCCTTAATTAATTTCAGTCCATTGTTTCTTGTCCTGCCTTCTGATGCTTTGGAAAATAAATGTATTTATTATTTATTTTAATTTATTTATTTGTCAAGCATATATTAGATAACAGATGTAAGTATAAACATGATTATTAATACATGAAAGGGATACGAGTAAAAGGGGACATTAGGACAGGGACGGTAGGCACGTTGGTGCACTTATGCACGCCCCTTATTGACCCCCTCTTCTTTGTGGCAGCCTCTCAAATCCTGGAAGGCTGCTATCATGTCCCCCCTAGTCTTTGTTTTCTCTAGACTAGCCAAACCCAAATCCTGCAATTGTTCTTCAGACGTTCTACTCTCCAGGCTTTTAGTTGCGCTTCTTTGCACTTTTTCCAAGGTCTCAACATCTTTTTTGTAATGTGGTGACCAAAATTGGATGCCGTATTCCAGGTGTGGCCTTACTCCAATGTGCACTGAACCACAACATAAATATACCAAGGCAATCTCCCTTTCGCACTCTGCCCCAAGGGCTGCCTTTGTTTACCCATGATCCTTGAGTGAGTCCCGCTTAAGTCATCCTTAGTTGTACCCTTGTTAGGGTGAGTGTATCTGGGCAAGCAAATCTCCTGACTGGGCTTTTTTTTTGGTCTTTTTTGGTGTAAGTCCATCTTGGCTCCTAGCGGCTACTTGGACAATTCCCTACAGTTTTCTTGGTAACATTTTCAGAAGAGGTTTGTCCCTATCTTCTTCCTAGAATAGGGACTGACCCACACTCTCCCAGTTGGCTTCATGCCAGACTAGAACTCACGGCCTTCAAGTTTCTGGGCTGATATTTTTAACCATTATAGCAAAAGTCAGCAGTGAGAATCAAAGCTACACTTTCGTATTTTCTTCCACCTTGTGGTTATCCCAGTTTAAACTATGTCCAAGTAGTGTTTCCTCTTATTCTTCCACCACTGTCCAAGGTTTCCTTAAAAGTACTGTATTTGTGCTCAAGATGCATGACATCTATTAGGTTTTCTATGATTTTGGAAGGCGATTGCAATGAGCTGAAACTGAGGCCACAGAGACAGGAGGGGGAATCCCCACAGCGAAGAGCAGATTCACACCAAGTTAAGTTTTTGGAAAACTCAAGAATGGCATGTGTGCATTTCTACTCAGGAAAGGCTCAGAGATCCAAAAGCTGTATTCACAGAAAATACTAATCAGGATTAATGCGTTTGTGTGTGTGTGTGTGTGTGTGTGTGTGTTATCATGCTAAGACAGAGTTCTCCAACTTTTCTGGCTTCCGATTCATATTTTTGACGGTTGCAGTGTCCTAGGGGTCTTTGTGAACTTCTGACATGCAAAGTCAATGGGGGAGCCATATGTACTTAACAATCGTGTCCCTAACGTAACAACTGTAGTGATTCACTTAACAATTGTAGCAAGAAAAGTTGTAAAATGGGGAAAACTCACTTCACAACTGTCTTACTTAGCTACATAAATTTTGGGCTCAATTGTGGTCGTAGGTTGAGGACTACCTGTAATCTGGAAGCTCCCTGCTTATAGTTTGTCTTGCAAAAACATAATGAAGTACCTGTAATGCTATGGCAGCATCTGATGGATAACAATGGAAATTTTCAGGGCGTTGGTTTTTCTAAGACGGAGTCCTTTTCCTAGAAGTGGGGAACTTGTGTTAACAAGCCCCTTATACAACTAGATGTGTGACATTTCAGCTCCTCAATTCCTTTGGTGCTGCCTCAAGTTGCATACTTCAGAACAATTGCTTTACCCACATCTCACACCTGCTAACTAAAATACTGCGATTCCATTGTTATGCAGGATTTCAGGTGTGACTCGGTGAAAAAATAAGACTGAGTCCGGATTTGTCTTGATAAGCCAAACACGTTTATTCAGATGAGCCCCAGCTAACGACGGGGGCTCCCTAAAGGTGGAGGAATCCCAAACACAGTGTGAGGCAGATATTTATAAATTTCTTTGCTTTTGCTTGGTTACATAAGAGGAAGCTTGCATACACCAGATAAGATCTAGAAATATAGAAATTATAAAAATAGTCAAGCACGCCTTCTGTGGTTTTGCTCACATGCCTAATCCACAGGCTAGTCTTTTTCTTTGGGATTTTCCATGACCACGAAGGCAGGGGTGAAATCCAGCAGGTTCTGGCGAACCGGTAGTGGAAATTTTAAGTAGTTTGGAGAACCAGCAAATACCACCTCTGGCTGGCCCCAGAGTGGAGTGGGAATGAAGATTTTGCAATATCCTTCCCCCATGAGTGGGGGGGGGGATTGGGGATTTTGCAGTATCCTTCCCCTGGAGTCGGGTGGGAATAGAGATTTTGCAGTATCCTTCCTCTGCCACGGCCACCAAGCCACACCATGGCTACCAAGCCACGCCCACAGATTCAGTAGTAAAAATATTTGAATTTCACCACTGCACAAAGGCCTGCATAGGTCTGAATTTTAGCCTTGCCATCTCAACATATGTTCCCTTCAGGCAATCATCAAATTCACCAGATTCCTGATCAAACCCATGGATGAATTATTATTCTATTGTTTTAATCAAAAGGTTAAACTAGACAATTGCAACTTAGAGTTGCAAATCAATCAATCAATCAATCAATCAATCAATCAATCAATCAATCAATCGATTTGTCCAAGCCCTAGCATATCTAGCAGGAATTTCTTCTTTCCATGCAGGTCAAGGCTAGGGAGAACATCATACGAACAGGGACATACCGGCAGCCAGTAAAACAGGGAGAAGGTAAATGTTCGCCCTCCAAATTACACTCCCCCTTCCTGCTTGGCAAAAAGCTTCCCAGATGTTCTCAGGGTCTCTCCATCTATGGAGTTCCAGTTCTCTCTTGCTGAATTCTGGGTGCCCCTTGTACATCTGAAAAACCTCTCTTCCTTTTCCCACTCACAGCTGGGTTCACTGTATCCCATTTCACACTGGCAGGGCATGGAAGGTGGGCACACACAGCCAGCCCTGCCATTGGGCAGAGGAAAGGGATGGTCTCAAGCAGTAGGAACAGGCCATTTCTCCCAAATCTCTGCAGCCACTTCCTTCATCCTGAGTTTTTTGCTGGGCATCACAGGGATGTCTCTTTGCAACAACGGTAGAAGGCTGCCCAGATGCCTATTCTTCATTTCCTCTGGGACAGACCCTTCTCGGAGACCCACAGAGGAGTTTAGGGGCTCAGTCTCTTGTAGTCAGCAGGCTGGCATGCTGGATGTGACTTGGTTTTCAAGGAAAACCAAAACATGCAAGGTGGAAGAAGGAAGGATAGAGAATGGGATGCAGTTCCCAATCACCTGGTACACAGAAGGCCCCAAGTCCAACCCAGAGTCTCCAGAAACCCTGGAGAGCCATGGGGAGGCACTACTAACAGCACTGACTCTTGGTCTGAAGCAGCATTTGGGGTTTTTAGGATGGCAAAGGGTTGAAGGACTCCATGGCATGTGCCAGGGATCTGTTTTATGTCCATTGCTCTCCTATGTAGCGGGAGATGTTACTGGAGGGAGATTCACCTGCTGCTTCATGGATCCCTGAAACAAGTGGGACCACCGACTTAATCATTGCCACCACAAACCTAAAATTTATTGTGGAGAAGGCAAGCCCTCACAACTGAAAAGAAGACAGCAGCTGAAGTCCTTCAGCTTCTGATTCTTAAATGATCCATTTTTGACTCACATTTCCCAGCCTGTTGTGGTCACCCTGGTGAATCTGATGTATTCCAACTGGAACTAATTCCATCTATCTATATCTATCTATGCATCTCTCCCTCTTTCTCTATTTATGTATCTATATATGCATCTATCTGTCTATCTATGTATGTATGTAAGTATGTATGTATGTATCTATCTGATGAAATTTATATGTCTCTTTTGATCTCTCTTTCCTCCACCCGGGAATTTCATCCTTTAGAAACTAAAGGGGACTTCCTTTTGAATCTCTTGGTGGATTTCGACACTGCTCCCAAGGTCCACTTGCTCCTCTACACCATTTTGCCCAATGGAGAACTCGTTGCTGACTCGAGAAACTTCATCGTAGAAAAGTGCTTTTCCAACAAGGTAAAGTTGTGCATTTTGTGTTCTGGTGTTAAAGAAAGGCAGAATCTTAATGTTCCAGAACAGGTTTTAAGCTGGTGCTATTCAACTCTACTGGCGCTAAAATCCACAAAGCCTCCTTTGCTCCTGATCCTTTGAGAAATAGTTCTTGAGTTACCCTTTTGCTATCTGCTTGTGCAGGCTGATGTAATCCGTTATGTCCTGGCCAGACCTGTTCCCTTGAATGCCAGTATCTCAGTGGGTCATAACCAAGTTGCAATGGAAAGAAAACCCCAAACATCGGCTAAACCTAAGCCTATTTTTTTGGGGGGGTGGTCAGCCAGTAGTTCCACTGAGCCTATCAAACTGTGGCTTGAGGTTAGTCACAGAGGGCAACTCAAGGTTACAATATGCATGATAACAAGGATGACTTCATCCCATTTATTTCTCCTTCCATTCATTCCACACCAAGAGGAAGAGATTTTTTTCAAAGACCTGTTTTATGTTTACAGGCTAAACTGTGGTTCTCTGATCAAGAAGGTCTGCCTGGCCAGAAAACCCAACTCCATCTTTCAGCTTCCCCCGGTTCCCTCTGTGCCGTCCATGCCGTTGACCAGAGTGTCTTTCTCTTGAAACCTGAAGCCGAGCTCTCCCCTGAGAAGGTGAGTTCCAACTGCATTTCATTTCGGGTCCAGATATGTCCTGGCTCCTGCTGGTTTCATTTTGTCCATAGAGATGTACTTCAAAGAGGATCTCTTGCAGCCATTTATGTACAATTTACACTAGAAGATATTGGGTGGCAACTAAATTTAAGAAGCTAGGGGAGGACTGCAGGGAAGACGAAGCAAAGAAAATTGTCCATAAATTAATTTTAGAGGTGTAGGAAAAATAGAAAGGCAAAGCATATAGACCGAGGGTAGCCCAATATCACAGTCCAGAGATTTTGCCATAATGTGAAGTAGTGTGTTATCGTGGTGAAAGTAATGGATTGGGAGTAGAATTCTTGAGAAACTTTGAGTCAGTCCCCGTCTCAGAGTGTCAAGTTTCCGATTGAAAAACCCAACCAAGCAAGCAAGCTTGAGATGATCCAATCTCTTTATGCTAAACTTTATTGAGTACATCGTATCTGCACAGATTGAAGCAAAACCAACTCTAACTAGTTCCCACAGTTTCCACATAATTAAAGAATAGAATTTCCTTCCCTCCCCATAAGTGCAGGTCATATTGTCCAATTAAATGTCCAGTATTCTTATGGAAAACTGTCCAAGTCTTAGTAGAACATCTGGTTAGACGACTTTGGTTCCCATGGGATGATTTCTTCTTGCTGTCTGGTAATGACATCCCCCCTCCCTGACTCTGTGGAAGGTGAAAAGTGGCAATGGCTGCAATTAGCAAAATCTCCCTTTGAAGTTGACAAAGAGTCCCAGGGCCAGTGTGGAGTACTGGGGAAGGACACAGACCAAGAAGACAAATTCTGGTTCTCCATCAAACATAGATGCTTGCTTGGATCACTCCTGAATTCTTAACCCAGTCTGTCTCAGAGATGTCTCAGTGTAAAAACATTTGGATCATCTTGGCCAGAAGACCAAGGTGGCCTCTGCTTTGAGATTTCCAGTAAAAGAGAACTCATCATTTCATGTGGTGGCCCGTAATGGAATGTGAGAATGACCTTGGAAGACAGACAGAAGCGATGCTGCCTAAAGAGCTCGAAATGAAGTAATGAGCAAAGAAAGAAATGTGGAAGGGATCTGCCCTAATTGATCCACTGCTAAAAAGATGTGGCAGGATAACTATCCTTTCAGACTTGCAAGAGTCTATTAATGTGGCCTTACAATTAACTAACCTTATTGTGTTTTATTGTTTGGTCTGCTGTACTTGAGAGGCTGATACCAATCTTGCAGGTTTGAAAGTACAACTCGCCTGCTGTCTCTTCTTATCACCTGATTGGTTAGGGTGGATCCTCTCTACATTTCTTTCTCTGTCCATTGCTCAGCTTCAGGTTCATCCCTCTTTCATCTGATCTCTCTTCCTTCCCTCATCTCCCAAGGTCTTTCTCCCATTGCATTAAGAGCCATGGTGGCACAGTGGTTAGAATGCAGGTACTGCAGGCTAACTCACTGCTCACGCCAGGTATTCAATTCTGACCGGCTCAAGGTTGACTCAGGCTTCCATCCTTCTGAGGTCGGTAAAAATGAGGGCCCAGATAATTGGGGGCAATAGGCTGACTCTGTAAACCACTTAGAGAGGGCTGTAAAACAGTATGAAGTGGTATATAAGTCTAAGTGCTATTGCCAAGTGCTATTGCACAGTTTGTTTCATTGGCTGATAACTTGATGGGCAGGAAGTTCCTCTAATCCAAATCTCCATCCTCAATTGCAGCCTTTCTCGTTTCAGGTTTACAGCTTCCTTCCCAAGAAGGATCCCATCTTCTCTTATGACCTCTTTGTAGCTCCGTTCAATATTTATCCCTGTCCTACAGAAGAACCATCCAGGGGTAATATCGATGACCCAGTGTATTTTCTCCCTGAAGATTGGGATACTTACAAGATATTCAGGGTAAGCATCAAAGCTATGTTTCCCTCTTGGGAGATGCTCTCATTAGGCAAGGAGAAGTGCGTAGTAGGTTCTCTGCTGAGCTGAAGTAGACTTATGGTACCTTCCTGGGCAGATCCATAGACATATAGTTTTCTTGCAGGACCTAATCTGGGTGGGTCACCGGGATGAGAGATTTTGTCTTCTGAGCTTTTGGTCTCGTGCTGGAGTCCATCCTCAGGAAACTAGCACACATTCTGGTAGAGAGAAGTTCCCTGAAGATGGGCTCCAGAATGAGTCCGAAAGCTCGGAAGACAAAATCTCTCATCCCGGTGACTGACCGAGATTGGATCCTGCAACATTATCCTGGGAGACGTATATTCGCCTTCATTCATGATATACTTTTCTTATTTTCTTAATGGATTGTCCTTCCTAACCATCTGCTGGGATTTAATCTGACCTTACAGGTGGTCCTCAATATATGAGCATAATTGAGGCCCAAAATTCTATTGCTAAGTGAGACATTTGTTAAGTGAGTTTTGCCCTGTTTTATGATTTTTCCTCCTACAGTTATTTAATGGATCACTGCACTAAGAGTTAAGAGTCATAGTGGCACAGTGGTTAGAATGCAGTACTGCAGGCTAACTCACTGTTTATTCCAGGAGTTCGATTCTGAGCAGCTCAAGGTTGACTCAGCCTTCCATGCTTCTGAGGTCGGTAAAATGAAGACCCAGATTGTTGGGAGCAGTATGTAAACTACTTAGAGAGACTAAAGCACTTTGAAGCGGTATATAAGTCTAAGTGCTATTGCTATTAATAACATGGTTCTTAAGTCAATCTGGCTTCCCCATTGACTTTCAGAAGGTTGCAAAAAATGATCACATGACCTCAAGCCACTGCAATTGTCATAAATTGCACTTGGAGGCTTCAGCTGGTGCAGAATGCGGCCACGCGGGTAGTGATGGGAGTGTACCAACACTCTCATGTTACACCCCTCCTGCGGGACCTGCACTGGCTACCAGTTGCCCTCCGGGTGAGATTCAAGGTGCTGGTAATCAGCTATAAAGCCCTACATGGCTTAGGCCCGGAGTATTTGGCGGACCATCTGCGGCCGCAACTGCTCCCCATTGCCCGGTGCGTTCCCACAGGGAGGGCCTCCTTGGGGTGCCATCGGCCAGACAATGTCGGCTGGTGACCCCTAGGGAGCAGGCCTTCTCTGTGGGCGCACCTACCCTGTGGAATCAGCTCCCCCTGGGCCCCTGACCTTCCCTCTTTAGGCCGTGGCCTTAAAACATGGCTATTCGGCCTGGCCGGTTTGGACTGAAGGGGTTTTAGAGGGGGTTTTAATGGTTTTTATAGTTTATTGGGTATTTTTAAAAATTGGACTTTGTGTGTTTTATTGTTGTGAGCCGCCCTGAGTCCTTTCGGAGACAGGGCGGCATATAAGTCTAATGAATGAATGAATGAATGAATGAATGAATGAATGAATGAATGAATAAAAAAAGAGTCAGTTGCCAAACATCTGAATTTTGATCATATGACCATCGGGATGCTGCAATTGGCTGTGACAAACAGTCATAAGTCATTTCTTTCAGTGATGTTGTAACTTCGAATGGTCACTAAATAAACTGTTGTAAGTAGAGGACTACCTGTATTAATTTAATTTCCAAGCTGATATAGGATCAGAGCCATGGTGGCACAGTGGTTAGAATGCAGTACTGCAGGCTAACTCACTGCTCACTCCAGGAGTTTGAACCTGACTGGCTCAAGGTTGACTCAGCTTCCATCCTTCTGGGATCGGTAAAATGAGGACCCAGATTGTTGGGGGCAATAGGCTGACTCTGTAAACCTCTCAGAGAGGGCTGTAAAGCACTACGAAGCGGTATATAACTCTAAGTGCTATTGCTATCCGCCAAGAGCTGCCACCAGCTAAGGAAGACCTGTCTGGCCCGCAGGCTGGATGCGTCACACCCCAGCTCTGCAAAGGCAAAAAACATCGCAATACATCCCAAGATGCCACGTGACGCGATCAAGTTTGACTCCCGTGAGCAAAGACTTCTCTCCCACTGCTTCTCTGCTACAGACCTATCAAAGGATTGGCTTCCTGGCTATAGACGGCTATTGAAGAGGCCAATTTCCACCTGTTGCTTGTCTGTTCCTTTAAGTGCCACCCAAATGGGCAGCGATATTTACAGAGGATGCAGCATTATGAAAAAAAAAAATTACTGGAGAGAGTTTGAACAATAATGTATTCCTTATACTGTATATTAGAATGTATATTAGAACATACTGAAAAATAAACATTGATAAGTAGTTTTCATGAGCAGAAAGGACTGTTTCTCAGTGGCTCTTTGCTTCATCTGGTAGGACTTTGGCTTGAGCATTTTTACCAACACCAGGTTAACCATCCCGGGATACTGCTCCGACGAAGGTAAGAACTGGAATGGGGAGAAAGTGATAAGGAAATGGATCTTTTACAATCGAGCTACTTCCAGGATTGAGTGCTGGAACTCTTTCATGGATGGAGACCCCGATAGTTGAGATTTGATCCCGAATTCCTCTGTTCCACTGAGAGGGCTGAGAGGGAGTGTTCCTTTGTTGCAGGAATTGGCCATGTCTAGTCTAATGAAAAGAAAGACTAGGGTTGACATGATAGGGTCTTCCAATATTTGAGGGGCTGCCATAGAGAAGGGGGGAGGGATGTCAACCTATTCTCTAAAGCATCTGAGGGCAGGACAAGAATCAATGGTTGAAAACTAATCAAGGAGAGGACCAACCTAGAAATGAGGAGCTCTTTCCCAACAGTTAGCACAATTAACCAGTGGAACTGCTTGCCTTCAGAAGTTGTGGGTTCTCCATCACTGGAGATTTTTAAGAAGAGACTGGCCAACCACTTGTCTGAAATGGTATAGTATGATCTGCTTGAGCTCCAAGGTCCCGTCCAGCTCTGTTGTTTCGTTTTTCTGTATCCTAGAATCCACATGATCCGCACCGTGTCATTGTTACAAATAATGTCATCACGTGGGCAATGCCACTTACTTTCTCTTGATGCTCCCAAATCCTTGTCCTGAACTCTCTTAAGCAACTGAGAAGAGCTGTGATGGTGGAGTGGTTAAAATGCAGTATTGCAGGCTAATTCTGCTGACTGCCAACAATTCGATTCTGACCAGCTCAAGTTTGACTCAGCCTTCCATCCTTCTGAGGTCGGGAAAAATGAGGACCCAGATTGTTGAGGGCAAGAGGCTGACTTTGTAAACCGCTTAGAGAGGACTGCAAAGCATTGTGAAGCGGTATATAAGTCTAAGTGCTATTGCTATTCCTGACTTGTTGAGGACCCAAATCCTGACTTGTACAGAGCCGTGTATCAGAGGGCAGCGGCAGAAACCAAAACCATGAATAAATATAAAGCAATAGATTCTCCTCCCATTGAAGCATCAATAAGCTAAAAAAGCCCACCGCTAAGCAAAACATAATTCACAGGGCTAGCGTTAAGACCCCCCCCCAGTAAAAAGATATTTGAGGAAAAGGGTTTTTAAAAAAATGTCAAGATGACAGCCAGACCTGCATGTGTGAAGTCTGTCCAATTTTTATGTCTGTCAATATCAAGAGGTGTGACTTTGATCACCCAATTGGAGCCACCATCTTGTCAGAAACAGTTCCTCCCCCCACACCCCCAATCGCATCACATTAGATGCTGAGGTTAAGTGAGGGGAAGAATTGAGAGGTTGATATTAATTAGAATGGAATGGAATTAGAATGGAATGGAGTAGAACAGAACAGAATTCTTCATTTGACCAAGTATGATTAGACACACAAGGAATTTGACTCCGATATAACAGCTCTCAATGTACATGCAAAACAACAGAGTAATAATAATCATAATAGGTAAAAAGGTGAAATCATGCAACTGGACCAAAGTTTACTAAACTGAGATGTTTCATTACTCATCCAAGTTTAACTCCTTCTGTCACAAGGAAACTTTTGGGTTAGGCATAGAGTCAAAGAGTAATTGAGTAGGACTTTGGTCCAGTTGCCATGATTTAACCTTTTTACATACTTCTGGCCTGGATGATTGAGTCTTCATTTACATAATAATCTCAATACAATGCCAATAAGAGCGGGCAGTAAAAAAGATGAAAAGGATAGTAATAATACCATAGCCATATACTGTAACATGAGTGAATATAGTTAGACATCAAACAACACTATTTTAATTGAGGGGTTGATGGTTAACCATCACAAAGAGGATGGAGTTTACAGGGGAATCTAACAGGCAATGTTTGAACTCTGACACAGAGTTCCATGAAGCAACCTCCTTGAGCTGAGGTGGCGCAGTGGTTAGGGTGCAATACTGCAGGCTACTTCAGCTAACTGTTAGCTGCAGTTCAGCAGTTCAAATCTCACCGGCTCAAGGTTGACTCAGTCTTCCATTCTTCCTAGGTGGGTAAAATGAGGACCCAGATTATTGGGGGCAATATGCTAACTCGGTAAACCTCTGATAGAGGGCTGTAAAAGCAATATGAAGTGGTATATAAGTCTAAGTGCTATTGCTAGTGCTAAAGTGGAAAGGTTGAGGCTTCCAGTGGTGAAATTAGGACATTGTTCTCCTGTTGTCCAACTGTCTGGAAGCCTCCAGTCATCCGCTATGAATTTATGTGGACAAAGACAAAACTGGACCTGGGAGGGGAGGGACTATTATCCTTCGAGTGCAACTCATCAAATGGCTTTCTCTCTGTGTTACAGTGATGGAAATGAAGGCTGATGTTTTATCACCACCTAGAGAGCCTGTTCTTCGTGGGCATTTCCCTCCCCAGAGAGTTGACTTCATGGCAGCCCCTGAAGTTGCTTTTGATGGTGGTAGTCTTCGTGGGCCTCCCACTCCTCAGGTTGAGGCTGCCCCTGAAAGGACACCTCGGTTCTTCTTTCCTGAAACGTGGATATGGGACCTGGTTATTATAAAGTAAGTGGATGGCACAGCTTAAAACAGTGATAGCTAACCATTTCGGCACCAAAGTGTGCATGCAGGTGCGCATCTCCAAAATGCAATGCGCGTGCATCCCGTACACGTCCCTCGCACATGCACCCTGCCCTCCGTGCATCCACGGCAGAGACCCGAAGACCAGATGGCCGCTGGGAAGGGCATGTGCATGCGCGGCAGAGCTGAGCTGTGGCGACAGCTCGTGTGCCCGCAGAGAGGACTCTGCGTGCCACCTCTGGCTTGCGTGCCATAGGTTCGCCATCACGGCATCACGGGCCTAAGAGATTCCCCAAATGATCATGTGACCACGAGGAGGTGGCAATGGTCGTAAGTGTGAAAAAGGGTCATAAGCCACTTTTTTCAATGCTGTTGTTACGTGGAATAGTCAGTAAACAAACAGTTGTAAGTCGAGACTACCTGTAGTGGATTGCTTCCCTCGCTCTTTTCTTTTTTAAAGAAGTTTTTTTAAATTTTTTAAGATCATAAACATAAAACACATCTTTTCCAAAACAAAGCATTGATCTGGTCACAAATTAGTACAAATCAATAACAAATCTTAATTTTCAATTAACACAACTTAATATTTTACTCAGTTATTTCCCTAAATTCTATCAATTTAACTATGCCATTATCCCAAAAACCCGTTACTTAAATCTTAAATCCTAACCAAATATCATTCCATTTTTTTCTTTCTTTTTGCTTAGATGGATATATTTTAACAATATAAATCATTACAGTTATTGTAAACATTTAAAAAAATATTTAACTATTGCTCCCAATATAATCATCTTCATTACTTTAATCTATTATCAATTAATCCTCATTTCATTTTTACTGTTCCCAACATAATCATTTTTATTTTTTGGCTGTTAATTCCAACATAATCATTTTATTTTACTGTTGAACACAGCATTATCATCTTTATTTCAGTTGTTAAACCCAATTTATTCATTTCATTTTTACTGTTAATCTCAACATACTCCTCCTTATTTTGGCTGTCCTACCCAGCATAATAATTTTTATTTTTTGGCTGTTAATCCCAGCATAGTCATTTTATTTTTATTGTTAAACCTAACATCATTATCTTCCGGTTTGGCGTTGCGGCGAGATAGTCGGGGAAATAGCGGGCTCCGATGAGCGCCGCCAATCGGTCTTCGGACCGGAACCGTCCTGCAGGGACGGGGAAGAAAGAGGGGCACCTCGGATGACCAAGAGGAACAGGTAAGTTCCTCGGAGGTCAGAGGGAACCCTCTGTGAGTTGGCGGCGGGGGGCGGTAGCCATGGCGACTGCCACGAAGCTGGGACAACCGGATTAAGAGATGTGCAGGAGGAAAGTGGATTGAAACGGAGCTCTTTGAAGCCGGCTGAGTGACAACCAACCCAGGCTTGTAACAACGCTTAGAGCAATATTATTAACTATAAGACCTCTAGCCTTAAAACAGCGGCTGAACAACAAAGGGGCTATGGAAAGTTTAAAATGTAACTTTAAAGAGACAAAGACCCGACAAACAACTAACTTTTGAACAGAACTAATGGAATTAAATATTGAGACATGGTGAAAAGACTGGATATTTTAAAATCTGAACTGGATCTTAAAAAAAGAAGACTTGATATTTTTAAAATCAAAGGAAGAACAGTAATTAAATTGGACTATTATATAATTGAAACAAAATGGATACTTGTATGACTAATGGAAAATGTGGATTGTAGAGGGACACCTTCTGGTTCAAAAAGGAACATTGTAACTCGTCTTTGTTATGGAAAATTTTGAACTTTACAGATAACAGCCATAGGATTTTGTGGAGGAGGGTTTTTTTTCTTGACTGCAGGCAGTTTGACTTTGATGAAAACAAAAGGAAATTACAATGGAACTCCTATAATTGGAATAATAATAATTTAAAAAACTGGTGCAGGAATAAAAGAAGGATCTAGCACAGGCTCAAGAGAAGGGAACTTGATGCATTTTATCCGGAATAAAAACAACAAAAAAAAAAGATTTAATATGACATATGGTGGACAAAATTTGAAGACTTTGAAAATGGAAGGAAATATATGCTAGCAGGCGAGAAAGTGATGAAATGAGGTATACACAGCTGGAAAAAGAAAAAAAGATTAAAACAATGTGATTAAAAATGAAATAATGTATAGGTGGATAGTAATAATAAAAAGGAGGTTTTTATAAGATAATGATGGATGAATAAGAATATGAGAAGAATATGATATAGATATATAAAATTGAAATACTGATGGAAATTAGAATATAAGAGAAATTAAGCATGTTAAAAGAGATTATAAATAAATACAAAGGTATGTTTTAAGCAAGAACCATGTCTCAATGTCAAATTGTCATAAAAAAGGATAATGATAAATATGATTAACTGAAATAAGAAATAAGAGGATTATGCTGGGATTAATAGTAAAACTAACTATGATTATGCTGTGTTTAACAGCCAAAAAACAAAAATGACTATGCTGTGTTTAACAGCCCAAAAACAAAAATGATTATGTTGGGGAGGACAGCAAAATGAAGAGGACTTTGCTGGGAGTAACAGTAAAAATGAAATGCTTCCCTCACTTTCTATTCTCTTGTGTCCCTCAGTGGTTCTCAAGGAAACAGCCATTCTCAAGTCCATCAGTCTAATAGAAAGAGTGATGTATCTGAAGAACCCAAAGAGATTGCTCTTCCTGTGACCATCCCGGACACTATCACCAAATGGAAAGCTGGAGCTTTCTGCCTTTCAGCAGACACAGGCTTTGGCCTGGCCCAGCCCGCTTTTCTGAAGGCCTTCCAGCCATTCTTCATTAAACTCACCTTGCCTTACTCCGTAGTGCGAGGAGAAGCCTTCCCACTCAAGGCTACCGTCTTCTCCTACCTGACTTACTGCATCCGGGTAAGGAACTTTTAATGGCTGCTGTGGGACCTTCCCTTTGTATTCTTGAAATTGCTTGGTCCTCTTTCTCTGCCCAAGTCTATTTGCTCCAACTCAGAATAACAGAATAAGAGTTGGAAGAGACCTTGGAGGTCTTCTAGGCCAACCCCACTGTTCTGTCCTTACTACGTTAGTCTGTGTGCAGCTAGATATGCAGCTAAACCCACCTATCCTCCAACAAAACAGACCGTGGGCGTAGGTCTAAATGCTTTATTGAAAGAACAGGATATAGTGAAACACGGGAAAATAGGAATACATACAATGAGAACCAAATACAAGATAGGCAGTATTGAGTTACTGCTGAACATAACAATAAATACAAGGAATTAAAATCTCATCAACAATGCTCTGTGTGTGAGATGTGGGTTTGTCCTTGGATGACCATGTGCCACAGATTAAGATGGATTCTTCTTTGTGTTTCTGCCTTCTCCAAATGCTAAAGAAAATGGAGTCTGGCTTCCCAGCATGCACTTGTTTTGAGAGTGCGGGCTGATGGATAAAGAAGTTGGATCAGCTTCATACAATATAATTGGTAATTGTCTCTCCGGCCACTAGATGTTGCTAGAGAGCAACAATAGTATATAAAAGTTATATGCTGGGGCATGTCCATTGTTTGCATTCAAGGTCTCAAAACCACCTGAAATTATCCTACCCCAATTTGCAAACAAAAAAACCCCCACTACCCACTGGATTATACACATCTCAAGCTTTCATATTTCTTTAAGACACTGTGTATTTCTCTCGCTCCCATTTTTGCCAGAGAACTGGTTTTTAATACTTTTTTTCCCTTTAGTACATTATTTCAAGCTTGATGATTTTAAGATGTCTGGACTTCAAGTTCCAGAATTCCCCAGCCAGCAAACTGAAGTCCACTCAATTTAAAGTTGCTGAGTCTGAAAACACTACTCTAGCAGATGCTCCACTACGGAATAATACAGCCATGAAAGTAATATGTGTATAGGGGGAAATAAACTAGAACTTGCAGAGGGAGTGTAAGTTGTACCCAGAAGATTGTGGTTGGCTTTACCATTAGCCAGAATGGGGTTGATCCCCCCTTTTGAGTTCTTTAATTGCCCATTTTACCAAGAATAGCAAAGAGAAGCTTGTTGGATTCCTACCTCAAGTACTAGAATAACTGTGCTCTCTGTATGTATGTACTATGATGTCAAGACTTGGGACATTCTTTATCTTTTGCAACAAAATACTTGGACTAGCTTGGCTGTTTCCTTCCTCATACATTCATGCCTACAATATGGAAGTATGATTAATTTTTAATTCAACCAGTTCCAAAGGTTAATTTATTCCAAAAGACTATGCGAGATGGTACATATGGAGGGAGAGTTGGGGAGGTGGGTTATAGTGAAGTAGCAGTTTCCCAGGAAGGAGGAGCACATTCTAGAAAGTGGGGGAGATGAGGCACAACAGCTTGGAGCTGGATAGGAGACAGAGATTTTGGATAGCCACTCCCTAGAATTTCCTAGGATATACCTCTCAGACTGGGAATGGTAAGGTTTAGTCTGGCAAGTTTCTGTGTAACGTGTATAAGCAGATAAAGACCTGAACTCCGGCTGAATTGATCTTGAGCTTAGCCTGACAAAAATATAGATATAGGTAAAGTCCTATATCTTTAAAACCTTTCAAAGCATATTGCCTAGCTTCTAGGAGAATAAAAGAGTTTTGAACATGCTGTACATTATCCTTTTCATTCATTCATATATGTATATGTGTGTGTGTATGTATGTGTGTAGGGGAGATGGTGGCATAAAAATCCAATAAACAAACAAATAAAACCTTAACAAGTAAATAAAATCAAAATTGAGGGAGAAGAACATTCATCTAATCATAGTATGACCATTGTGCAGGCTCCCCCTGGGATCCCCAATGTTGCTGAAGACACAATGATTTCAGGGCCTTTTGAAAGGCTCACAGGGGCTTCATGGGAAATGATGATTATGAGCTTTTCTCGGCACTGCGGTGGGGATGTATAGCTTTCCCACTGAATTATTATTTTTTCCAAATGGACAGGTCAGAATATCTCTGACTCCTTCTGCTGACTTTGAGGCATCTTCTATGGAGAAGGAGGAGGAGGATTCCTATTGTATCTGTGCAAATGGAAGAAAAACGGTGTCATGGATGATGACCCCTAAAATTCTAGGTAAGTGGTAACTCTAATAGTGGAGCCATTACTTAGAAGATGATCTTTTCCCTCCATGTGTAAAGTAAATCAAGGAGCAGAGTTTTAATTATATCATTTCCTCCTAAGGATTGTAATGTATGTGAGAAAAACCTTGGGAGACTGGGCAAAGAGACACAGGAACGGTCAGCTAGGAGACTGCATCACCCACAGGTGTACAGAAGGCAGGGCAAGAGGCTCAGAAGAGACCCTCTCTAGTTTCCTGGGCTGTAAAGGAGACAGTGGGAGATCTGTACTTTCAAACTTGTAAGATTCTACAAATGTAGATTTACAGTCAAATAGAATTAGCCAGTGGTGAAATCCCCCCTGTTCTATCCGGTTCGCTGAACCGGTAGCGATGGCGGTGGGAGGCTCCACCCACCCATCAGGACATCATTACGTCTCTTTTTTTACCGTTTGCGCATGTGCAGAAGAGGTGCTCCTGTGTGCTCCCATTCCTGAATCGGTAGCGAAGGTAAGTGGATTTCACCCGTGGAATTAGCGAATCAGATTGTGTTTCCTGTCTGATCTATTGTAAGACTGATGTCTAGTAAGGCTGACATCAGTCTTACAAGTCTGTAAGTTCAATTCTCCCACTGTCTCCTTTACAGCCTGAGAAACTAGGGAGGATCTCTTCTGATCCTCTTGCATTTCTCAACTATCCAGCTGCAGGCTCCCTTGTTCCTTATCTGACCATTCCCTTGGCAGGTTCTCTTTGCCCAATCTTTTCTTGGTCCTTTCTACATACCATTACTACATCATCATCATCATCATAGCAATAGCACTTAGATTTATATACCGCTTTACAGTGCTTTATGTAAGCAGTATATCTCTAAGCGGTCTACAGAGTCAGCATATTGCCCCCAACAATTTTGGGTCCTCATTTTACCCACCTTGGAAAGATGGAAGGCTGAATCAACCTTGATCTTATCTTTTAATGACCCCATAATCCCTTGCAGGGTGGAGTCAGGGCAACTTAATGGTGCTGAGTGTTTAATGGACGGATGCCATTCCTGTCGCCAATGTGGATTTTTTTTCAGCAGATATATTCTCATTGTGCCCAAAGAGAGAAATATCTGCCTCTATCTAGGATCAAACTCACAGCCTCCTGATAGTGAGGCAAGAGCTCCACCTCTAGACTACCACACCACTCACATACCATTACTACATAAAGGTAGCATATTATAATGAGGCGAACCATTTTTGTTCCAGGGGAGATAAACCTCACAGCAAGCGCAGAGGCTGTGCCCTCAAATCAGCTCTGCGGGAATCAAGTAGTGGAGGTGCCCACCACTAAAAACAAAGACGTCGTGATCAAGTCATTATTAGTTGAGGTATGTGGGATGCTTTAAACCCAGGCTGGGTAATGAGGGGACACAGATGTCTGGGTAAAGCGATGGTGGATATCTGTACTACATGTCAGAGATAATGCTGAGGAAAATACCAAATGCTGCTCCTAGGGAGAAGTCTAGCAAGATCGGAAGGGATCTTGTCAGTCAGCCATTTATCCCCTCCCCCTTTTTCGCTTTCTTCTCCTTTGGATTACAAATTTTGTAATAGAAAACCTGGCTACTATAAGAAAAGCAACCAAAGCGACAGAAATTACTATAACAAAAAGCGGATCTTTTTAGAAAGCCAGCAAATGACAGAAAAAGGGATTAGTCAAGACTTAACATAAAAAGGGTTTTTATGACACTGACATCCCCTAGACTCTGCTGAAGACATTACCAAGCCTGGTAACAAAAAGTTCAGAAACCAACCCACAAGCTCGGAGAATGAACCTTCACCCTCAGAAATTACCTTCTTAGGAAACAACACAAAGCAATTCTGTGCTGACCTATCCAGTGATACGAATTCTAAGTGCTCCTCTTGATGGTTCACACCTCTTGTTACTTGTTTCAACTGCATTTTCTCTTGGTGCTCGTCTACTTGAGCAGTAGATGTTACTCAGATGTTATGTCCATAACGATTTTTCTAAATGATTCTAACACTCCTGTTTACCTCTCCCTTTTTCCTTCCCTTTCTGTTCTGGTGAAGCCTGAAGGGATCGAGAAAGAAGTGGTGTTCAACTCTCTTTTCTGTGCACCTGGTACGTTGTGTCAAGATTCCAAGTAATACATTCTCAATCTAAAAAATGCAAGGCATCCATCTTTCTCTTCAAAGTCTCTTTATTAGGAAACTATTAAATTGGCAAGGTCTTGTAATTCCGGCTCTGACCAAACCCCGGAATAATACCCAGTAGAAAGCAAAAGTCTGAAACTTCCCCCCATAGTCACATTCTGCAATCTGCTCACAGTCGATCTGTCTAGTGATTCCAACTCCACCTTCAGCCCTCTGCAGGTACATTATTAGTTTCCCTGGGAAAGAATGTCACCTAGCCATAACAACCATCCTTACCTCGACAACCCCCCTTCCTACTACTGAAATGTGGCGAGCCTGAAGCGCCGTTAAATCCCTTTGCAGAATATCTATAGCTGTGATGGCGAATTTATGGCATGCGTGCCAGAGGTGGCACGCAGCGCCCTCTCTGATGGCACACGAGCTGTTGCCCCAGTTCAGCTTCACTGCGCATGCACATGTGCCTCCTGCCAGCCAGCTGGTCTGCCATGCATGCGCAGGGAGCGTGAAGCCTGTAGAGGGGGCACACGCACATGCGCTGGGAGTGGGGCATGCGCGGCACCTCGCACACATTGCATTTTGGGAGTTCGGACGTGCACACTCACTCGCTTTGGGCACTTAGTCTGGAAAAGGTTAGCCATCCCTGTTCTATAGAAAGCTTAGAAAAGTATAGGAAATGGCTACAATAGAATATGGCTGCACATATGTCAGGATCGACAGGTTGCCCCTGTAGACACAGATTTTAACTTATTGTAAATGCTGTTTTTTAATGAACCTCCTTCAAATGAAGATCACCACCTCCCCAACTCAGGCATTCATGAAAGCCTAGATGAGAGGAAGGAGTGGGAGGGAAAGGATGTAAACATTGGACGTGGTCCCTTGAACAATTTGATTCCTGCTGAAATCACTACTGCGGCTCAGCCTTCTAAGCAGAACATGCACCAAGAGCCCAGTTAGAACAGCAGTGACAGGTGCACTATGATTGAAGCTCCCTTTCTCTTTTATAGAACCCGAGTCCAAATCTTTTCCTCTGACGTTACCGGAGAATGTTGTAGAAGGCTCAGCCAGGGCCTCCTTTTGTGTGCTGGGTAAGTGAGATACCGTGTTATTGATTTTGGAAATTAATTCTGTCCTTGGGCACTCCCACATAAGGTCCTGGGTCAGTCTGGAAGCTGCTCCAATTCCATGTACAAGTACTCCTTAACTTACCACAGTTTGTTTAGTGACATTTGAAGTTACAACGGCACTGGAAAACGTGAATTATCACCCCTTTTCACACTTACTGTTCTACCGTTACAGCATCCCTGTGGTCACATGATCAAAATTCAAATGCTTGGCAACTGACTCATATTTATGACGGTTGCAGTGTTCCGGGGTCATGTGATCACCTTTTGCAACCTTCTGACAAGCAAAGTCGATGGGGAAAGCCAGATTCACTTAACAACTTGCTTACTAATTTAACAAGTGCTGTGATGAACTTAACAACTGTGGCAAGAAACCATCTCACGTAGCAATGGAAATTTTGGGTTCAGTTGTGGTCATAAGATGAGGATTATCTGTATAGTCCATGGTTGACGGTTTTCCATTAAGCCTGGGTTGGGTGCCTTGGATAAAGGTTTCACTCAGGTTCACCTTCCACGCGGGAAGCAATGTCAGTTTAAAATCATTGGTTCACACGAAAGGTGGGAAAACAGAGAAACCTCAGTGACTGGACTACCTGACAGCTCCCTTTAAAAGAGGGAGCTGTTGGACAGCCAGGCACATTTTGCTGTACCGGTCTACTGAATAAAGAGCTGTAGTCACAATATTGAGTCCTGCCTCTTCGATTCGACCCCAACTTAACACTAAGGCTGGGAGAAAATTGGGTAGATTTCTCTGGATATTCAAACAGTGGCATCTTTTGAGGGGGGGAAATCAAAGTTGGCAAGATCCTCTCTATCATATGTCCTCTTCTTTCCCTTTCTCAGGAGACATTTTAGGAGGAGCGATAAAGAACCTCCATCAGCTTCTCAAGTTCCCCTACAGCTGGGGGCAGGGGGAGCAGAACATGGCCTTCTTTGCCCCCAATATCTACATCCTGAACTATCTCAATAAGACTGGACAACTGACAGAGGAGATCAAATCCAGGGCCGTCGGATACTTAGAGGCTGGTGAGAAGCATCCCACAGGAATTTCCCTCTCTTTTTCTCTACTGCAGTTGGGAAGTTTCAAAGGCTCACTCGACAGATCAGTCACTGGTATTGATAGAGGAGGTTGTAAATTGAACAGATTAGACTGACTGAGACACTTGGAACCTTTCCAGATGTTGGGAACAAGAGACATTAGTAATATAGAGAACCAGTTTGGTGTACGCTGACCTAGAAACCAGGAGACTGTGAGTTCTACTCCTACCTAAGCATGAAAGTATGACTGAGTGATTTTGGGTTAGTCACTCTCTCTTGGCTCAACTCACCTCATCTGACTGGGGAAAATCGAAGTGTTGTGGGGAAGATAAAACAAAAAGGAATATCATACATATTCTCCCTTTTGAATTTCTTATAAAAAAGTAGTAAATGAGGGATTACAATCTAATAAATACATAAATAAAATATTGCTCAATGGCTTGCTGTTCTGGACAATCCAGTTAACCTGCAATAGAATAGAATAGAATAGAATAGAAAAGAATAGAATAGAATAGAATAGAATAGAATAACACAGTTGGAAGGGACCTTGGAGGTCTTCTAGTCCAACCCCCTGCTTAGGTAGGAAGCCCTATACCATTTCAGACTAATGATTATCCAATCTCTTCTAAAAAACTTCCAGTGTTGGAGAATTCACAACTTCTGGAGGCAAGTTGTTCCACTGATTGTTCTAACTGTCAGGAAATTTCTCCTTAGTTCTATGTTGCTTCTTTCCTTGATTAGTTTCCACCCATTGCTTCTTGTCCTGCCTTCTGGTGCTTTGGAGAATAGCTTGACTCCCTCTTCTTTGTGGCAACCCCTGAGATATCGAAATACTGCTATCATGTCACCCCTAGTCCTTTTTTCCCACGTTTCAGCAATCATTCTTTATGTTTTAGTCTCCAGTCCCCTCCAGTTAGTCAAGTTCACATGAAGTGTTAATACCACTCTATGATGCCTTGGTAAGGCCACACTTGGAATACTGCATCCAGTTTTGGTCACCACAATATAAAAAAGATTTTGAGACTCTAGAAAGAGTCCACAAAAGAGCAACGAAGATACCTTTGTTGCTCTTCTGTGTACTCTTTCTAGTCTTCGTTGCTCTTCTGTCCACTCTTTCTAGAGTCTCAAAATCTTTTTTATATTGTGGCGACCAAAAGTGGATGCAGTATTCCAAGTGTGGCCTTACCAAGGCATTATAAAGTGATATTAACACTTCACGTGATCTTGAGTCTATCCCTCTGTTTATGCAGCCCAGAACTGTGTTGGCTTTTTTGGCAGCTGCAGCACACTGCTGGTGTCAGGTTTCGATGTCATCTCAAATAAATTGCACTCCCAAACAATTAATCTTTGCTGAAGTATTCCATTTATTGAGTATGACAGATCTGGCCCCGACTTAGTCGTAGCCGATACTAACCCTCTGACCCACAAACCCTTCCCTTTCCGTTCCCCAATTCTTATCTTCTCATTGGCCATCTTCCAAGTCAGTCTCCTCAGCTTCTGACTTCACCCCATAGGAATGTTCCCCCCCACTATCTCATTTCCTAGGGGATATTATCTACAAAGAAATAAGTAGGTGAAAAGTCAAGCCTCGTCTTTTTATGGCAGCATCAGAATGCTGACATCCGGCCCCCCTCCCTTCATTTTTCCAGGGAGGCCTGTTTCAGGGGAAAAACAAAACAAATTAAGTACCGTTACCCCGTCCGAGGGTGTGTCCCACCCCCTCCCGCCTTGCCCGGGTGATCTGCATGGAATTTGGCTATAAGGCGATCAGCTTGGATATTTGTGCTCTTCACCCAGGAAGCCTCTGACAAGGGGTAACCCTTCCACTTAATTAAGTATTGGAGGCGCCCCCATGCCACCTCGAATCGAGAATTCGCTGTACCTCGTAGTGAGTATGGCCCCCAACAACCAGGGCTCGGGGGGTGGGGTGTCACGTGGCACCGGCCTTAAAGTTGACCCCACCACAGGCTTCAGGAGGCTGCTGTGGAAAACGGGGTGTATCTTCCTAGTAGCTGGGGCAACCACAGTTGTACTGTAACCGGGTTGATTATTTTTTCTATAGGGAAAGGTCCTATAAATTTCGGGCCCAATTTCTTGCTTGGGAGTCTAAGTCTCAAATACTTGGTGGAGAGATAAACCTTCTCCCCCACTCTGAATGGTCTTTGGGGAGTTCGGTGCTTGTCTGCTTGTTTCTTATAGGATTGTGCCGCCTTGGCCAATGCCCTCTTAACGTTCTCCCAGGTTTCCCTCAACATATCCATCCAATCAGTCAAGCTGACTGAGGAAGGGGGCTCCCTTGAGTACTCTGGCATGGGGACGAAATCTATACCACTCACTATTTTAAACGGGGTTAATCCCGTGCTACTGTGGACAGCGTTATTATACGCGACCTCCGCAAACGATAGGAGGTCTGCCCAATTGGACTGTTGGTAGTTGATGTAGCATCTTAAATACTGCTCTATCATGGCATTCAGTCTCTCCGCCCCCCCATTGGTGCTCGGGTGAAACGCTGAGCTGAGGCCTTGGGATGAACCTATGGATCGTAGGAACTCCCTCCAAAATTTTGCTGTGAACTGGACCCCTCGGTCGGAGATGATTCTTCTGGGTACTCCATGCAGGCGGTAGATGTGTTTCAGGAACAGTTTGGATAATTGGTGGGCTGAGGGTAGCCCGCTGCAGGGTATAAAGTGTGCCTGTTTGGAAAATAAGTCTATTACAGTCCAGATCAATGTGTTGCCACCTAACCCTCTGACCCTAAAACCCTTCCCTTTCCGTTCCCCAATTCTCATCTTCTCATTGGCCATCTTCCAAGTCAGTCTCCTCAGCTTCTGACTTCACCCCATAGGAATGTTCCCCCCCACCATCTCATCTCCTAGGGGATATTATCTACAAAGAAATAAGTAGGTGAAAAGTCAAGCCTCGTCTTTTTATGGCAGCATCAGAATGCTGACAGCTGGCTCATATCTACATGATTGTTCACTAGAGTTCCAAGAATCCTCTCACAGTTATCATTATTGAGCGAGGTACCACACATACCGCACCTGTGCATTTCGTTTTTCTTGCCTAAATGTACTTTTTTTACCACTGAATTTCATTTTGTCAGGATCCTTCTGTATCTTGCATCACAAACTTGAAGGAAATATTTCAGTTAGGTTTGGAAATGCACATGCTGCTCAGCTCACCTCTAAATTTCCTTTTCCACTTCAGGCTATCAAAGGCAAATGAACTACAAGCATCATGATGGTTCTTACAGCGCTTATATACATTATCCGGCAAAGGCAGGGAACACTTGGTAAGATTTCCTTGTTCCTAAGGTTGCATTTTTCAAACTTTCTACAATGATGGACTAACCAAATCAACATTCAAACAATTCAGGAGCCATAAAGGAGAACATTTGTAGCTCCAGGTTGAAATAAGGGGTCCTTGGTGGTCTCTGAGCTTGGTTGTTTTCTTGCAGACGTTTCATTACCCTAACTAGGTAACATCATCAGTGCTAGTAAGGAGTGCAGTTTGCTGTCTGTTTATATTCTGGTGTCTTGCCTGTCTGTCTGGGTGGGTGGGTGGGAGGTCTTAGAGATTCTCTGGTTGGCTGTTTACTTGGCCAAATCTAAAAATGCCAGGGAGTTTCTAGAAGCCTGGCACTCTGACAAATGAGCCATCAATAGACACATAGACATTAACAACATCTATAGATTCTACAAAAGAGAATCAACCACCCCAAAAGCCTGGTGGCACCTCTCCACCAGTAATCAACACTCCGATCAGCATAGGTCGACTCCAAAGTCAATCTCAGACCAACAATCATCTAATTCTATGATTCCATGATTCTGTGATTCCATAAATTATGAGTGATGATTCTATCTTTCTGAGTTCTGTAATTTTAATCAAAAATTAGATGTTAGTTTATGTACCATGGGTCATATCATGACAATATCTTTTAGCATAGATGTACTGGTGGAGAATGTTATACAGTAGAAACCTCTACAGGTAGTCCTCGAACTACAACTATAATTGAGCCCAAAACTTCTGTTACAGTTGTTAAGTGAGTTTTGCCCCCTTTTACAACCTTTCTTGTCACAGTTGTTAAATTAGAAACATGGCTGTTAAGTGAATCTGGCTTCCTCAGTGACTTTGCTTGTCAGAAGGTCGCAAAAGGGGATCACATGATCCCTGGGATACCGCAAATGTCATAAATACGAGCCAATTGCCAAGTGTTGAATTTTGATCATGTGACCCATGGGAATGCTGCAATGGTCACAAGTCATTGTTTTCAGTGCCATTGTAATTTGGAATGCTCACTAATCGAATGGTTGTAAGTCAAGGACTACCCATAATGGGCTATGAGAATAACCTTGAGGGACAGGAGGAAGAGTTGCAATCAAGACAACAGTCAGATAAGGAAATCTTAGTCCAAAGCAGAAGTGTAATTTTAGAAAAATGTCTCAGACTTGCCCTTCCTTCTCTTGTAGATTAAGGCAGGGAGGCGACAGGAACATTCAGACTTGCAAGATTCTGTTACTGTAACACCAGTAGCACTAAAACTGTAAATTATGAATACTAAAAGTTATTTTAATATTCATAATTTGGCTTTCCAATTCTGGTCTACCTAGAAAGACCTGGAAGGACATCACCAAAGGGCTAAGAGCAGGAATATCCCCAGTCTAATTTTTTTAGATATTCGTCATTGTATTTCCAGTTGATGCTTTTGTGTTTTGGATTTCTGGTGTAAAATTACAGTTCCTCCTAGTGAAACATATGCAGAGTTACAATTCAGAGGTGCCCTGTTTACTGTTGTCGGTTCTCTGAATGCTAATCCTTGTATTATTTGGCAACTTCAAGAAATGAGTTTCCAGCCATTGCTCCACTTTCCTGAACCAACTCACCGATGGTGAAAGAAGGCTAGAGGCAGCAATGGACTTTGAGCACCTGAATGATGGTGAATAGACTGTAGCTCACCTTTTAAAGCAGAGTTTCTCAACATGGGCAACTTTAATAGAATAGAATAGATTTTTTTATTGGCCAGGTATGATTGGACACACAAGGAATTTGTCTTGGTGCATATGCTCTCAGTATACATAAAAATAAAAGATACGTTCATCAAGAATCATAAGGTACAACACTTAATGATAGTCATAGGGTACAAATAAGCAATCAGGAAACAATATCAATATAAATCGTAAGGATACAAGCAACAAAATTACAGTCATACAGTCATAAGTGGAAGGAGATGGGTGGTGGGAACGATGAGAAGATTAATAGTAGTGCAGACTTAGTAAATAGTTTGACAGCGTTGAGGGAATTATTTGTTTAGCAGAGTGATGGCATTCGGGAAAAAACTGTTCTTGTGCCTAGTTGTTCTGGTGTGCAGTGCTCTATAGCGTCGTCTTGAGGGCAGGAGTTGAAACAGTTTATATCCAGGATGTGAGGGGTCTGTAAATATTTTCACAGCCCTCTTTTTGACTCGTGCAGTATACAGGTCCTTAATGGAAGGCAGGTTGGTAGCAATTGTTTTTTCTGCAGTTCTAATTATCCTCTGAAGTCTGTGTCTGTTTTGTAGGGTTGCAGAACCAAACCAGACAGTTATAGAGGTGCAGATGACAGACTCAATAATTCCTCTGTAGAACTGTATCAGCAGCTCCTTGGACTGTTTAAGCTTTCTGAGTTGGCACAGAAAGAACATTCTTTGTTGTTTGTTTTATTGTTTGTTTGTTTTATTAAATTTATATACTGCCCTACTCCCGAAGGACTCAGGGCGGTGAACAGGCACAAAATAAAATACATAAATACAAAAGTTAGAAACGTAATTAAAACCAAATTAAATAGTTTAGCCCAAGACAATTAAAAATCCCAATAATTTAAAACAAATTAAAATTTCAATTTAAAAATTTAAAAGAAAGGGGAGAAAATTAGGCCAGGCCGGCTTGCTGGAATAGGAGGGTCTTAAGAGCACAGCGGAAAGTGCGCCGATCCGGGATCCTCCGTATCTCCGGGGGTAGCTCGTTCCAGATAGCGGGTGCCCCCACAGAGAAGGCCCTCCCCCTGGGGGTCGACACTGTTTGGTTGACGGCACCTGGAGGAGCCCCTCTCTATGAGAGCGTACCGGCCGGTAGGAGACTGTTTGTGGTAGTAGGCGGTTCCATAAATAACCAGGTCCTAAGCCATGGAGTGCTCTAAAGGTGGTGACCAAAACCTTGAAGTGCACCCGGAAGACCACCGGGAACCAGTGCAGCTCGCGCAGGAGAGGTGTCACACGGGAGCGCCATGTTGCTCCCATAACCACCCGCGCGGCTGCATTCTGCGCCAGTTGGAGCCTCCGGGTGCTCCTCAAGGGGAGCCCCATGTAGACAGCGTTACAATAGTTCAGGCGGGAGGTGACGAGGGCATGAGTGACTGTGTGTAGGGAGTCCCAATCCAGAAAGGTACGCAACTGGCGAATCAGGTGAACCTGATGAAAAATCCTCCCGGTCACGGCCGTCAAGTGCTCTTCTAAAGACAGCCGTGAATCCAGGAGGACGCCCAAGTTGCGAGCCCTCTCCGTGGGGGCCAGCGATTCGCCCCCAATAGTCAGCGATAGCGTCAACTGACTATATCAGGACGTCAGAAACCACAGCCACTCGGTCTTGGATGGGTTGAGCCTGAGCCTGTTCTTCCCCATCCAGATCCGCACGGCCTCCAGACACCGGGACATCACTTCAAGGGCATCGTTGGGGTGGTCCGGGGTGGAGATGTTGTGCTTTTTTGATGACATTTTTGATGTTAGCTGTCCATTTTAGATCTTGCGATATGGTAGAACCTAGAAATTTGAAGGTCTCTACTATTGATATTGTGTTGTCTAGTATTGTGAGAGGTGGAAGTATGGAAGGATTTCTCCTAAAGTCTACTACCATTTCTACGGTTTTGAGTGTGTTCAGTTCCAGATTGTTCCGGTCACACCATGAGGCTAGTTGTTCAACCTCCCATCTGTATGCGGATTCATCATTGTCTCGAATGAGACTGATCACCGTTGTGTCATCTGTGAACTTCAGAGTTAACAGATGGATCGTTAGAGATGCAGTAATTGGTATACAGAGAGAAGTGGGGAGAGCACCTTGGGAGGCCCCTGTGCTAATTGTACAGGTATCTGATGCGATTCTGCTTAGCTTCACCTGCTGCTTCCTGTTTGTTAAGAAGCTTATGATCCATTTGTAAGTGTGTTCAAGTACCTGTAGCTGGTTTAGCTTAGTTAGAAGTGTGTCAGGAATGATGGTATTGAATGCTGAAGTAAAGTCTACAAAGAGGACCCTTGCATAGGACTTTGGAGATTCAAGATGTTGTAGGATATAGTGCAGAGCCATATTAATAGCATCATCTGTTCGTCTATTTGGTCAGTATGCAAATTGCAAGGGGTGTAACAGCGGATCTGTGATGGTTTTCAAGTGGGACAGCACTAGCCTTTCAAAGGTTTTCATGACTACAAATGTTAGAGCAACAGAGTCGTTCAGTTCCTTGATGGTGGGCTTCTTTGGCACTGGGATGACAGTAGAGTGTTTGAAGCAAGAAGGAACATAGGACATCTCTAGTGATTTATTGAAGATACGGGTGAAGATGGGGGCCAATTGGTCAGCTCAGACTTTTAAGCAAGAAGAAGTTATCTTGTCTGGGCCTGGAGCTTTTCCTGGCTTTTGTCTGTGAAATAGGTCTTGCACTTCCTTTTCTGTGATCACTAGGGGTTGTGAATCCAATGGGATTGGGTCAGTTGTAGGAAGCTTGGCTGTTGTTGGTGTGTCTGAGATGGGGGTTGTGGAGATAGGTGGCTGTAGTTTCCTTTCAAACCTGCAGTAAAACATATCCAGGTCATCTGCCAGTTGTTGATTTCCTTCAGCCTGGGAAGGAGGCTTGCCATAGCTGGTGATATTTTTAAGAGTTTTCCACATGTTTGCTGGTTCATTTGTTGAGAACTGATTCTTTAGCTTTTCAGAATAGCTTCTTTTTGCTGCTCTGATCTCCCTTGTTAATAAATTTCTGGCCTGATTGTACAGCATTTTATCACCTTTTCTGTAAACTTCCTCTTTGGAACAACGTAGCTGCTTAAGTTTAGCTGTGAACCAAGGTTTGTTGTTACTGTATATTCGCAATACAGTATATTTGTGTTCCTGGTTGGTACACATAGGTCTTCACAGAAGCTGACATATGATGTTACAGCATCTGTGAGTTCTGCAGTATCTGCAGAGGTATCTTCAAAAATATTCCAATCAGTGCAGTCAAGGCAAGCTTGAAGCTTTAACTTTCCCTCCTCCGTCCAGGTCTTCACTGATTTAATTGTTGGTTTTGTGCTTTTAAGTCTTTGCCTGTAAGCAGGTACAAGGTGAATCATGCAATGATCAGAGTGTCCCACAGCTGCTCGTGGTAAAGACCGATAAGCATTTTTTAGTGTTGTGTAGCAATGGTCTAAAGTATTCTTGCCTCTAGTGGGACAATTGACATGCTGAAAGTATTTTGGTAGCTCTTTCCTTAAGTTTGCCTTGTTTAGATCTCCCAAAATAATGGCCGGTGAATCAGGGTATTTGGCTTCAGCCTCTATAATTTGGTCAGCTAGAGTTCGTAATGTCTTGTTTACACAGCTTTGTGGTGGGACATAAACAGCAATTAGAAGAAATGAGGAAAATTCACGAGGTGAATAGTATGATTTGCAGTTGATAATTAATGTCTCTAAGTTTTCGTCACAAAATTTATATATTATAGTTATATCCTGAGACCAGCTGTTGTTGATATATAAGCATAAGCCTCCTCCCTTCTTTTTACCATATGTTTCTGCAATTCTGTCTGATCGTTGAATCTGAAACCCTGGGATACGCAGGCTGCTATCTTCAATTGATTCATTTAACCAGGTTTCAGAGAACCATAGGGCTGCTGAATTGTAAAAATCAGAATTGTATCTGTTTAAAAGGAGTATTTCATCCATCTTATTAGCAAGTGAACATATGTTGGTTAGGAAAATTGAAGGCAGAAGAGTTTTATTTCTCCTATTCCTTAACCTGTTTAAAATTCTGGAAATTGAAGTCCACCTATTCTAAAGTTGCCAAGGTTGAGAAACACTGTATTAGAGAGAAAGGCAGCAGGGGCCACCATCTAACTGGCCTTGGCTATGCACCTGTCCTAAAAAACTAAGTAAGGTTGGTTCTGTTTAGTGTTTGGATGGGAGGCTACTAGGAAATCCCATGGCTTTAGGCTAAACTTGGAAGTTGAAACAGCATCTCAGAAGAAGGCAATGGGAAGACAGTGCCATATTGCCGCCAAGAACATCACACAGGCATATTCATGTGGTTCCCAAGAGACACTTCACCAATTTCGTGAGGGACATTTTTAAAAAGGAGAGGATGCAATTCATACAGCAGGGAAATGGTCCATTCCTCCCTACCAAGGGTCCTGCACATGTGCAGGATTGAAGAGAAACATGGTAAGCATACCAAGCAGGGGCATACTTGGGAATGGTTTAAAAAAAGTGAAGATAATTACCTATAACTGTGCAACTGTGCAACCACCACATTGCTGGTGAAAAAGGGGGCTTTGACTGCCCAGTTATAGCTGCCCTCCTAACTTTCTTGATACCTTCTTTCAATGGGTTCTTCAATCCCAAAACGGCCGAAGATTGTAGGAGCCTGAGAACTAGAAAAAGAAAAATGAGGTTCTCCTATTCTCTGGACTCTCTTATAGGCTGACGGCTTTCGTGCTGAAATCTTTTGCTCAGGCAAGATCCATAATCTTTGTAGAAGACAAGGTCATCAACGATGCTCAGAACTTCCTGACACAGCAGCAGGAAAATAATGGATGTTTTCGGAGCACTGGATTTCTTTATCACAGTGAATTCAAGGTACAAGAGGCAGATCGAAGAAAACAGAGACGTATCTTTGGAAATGAGAGTAGGGCAGGGGTGAAATCCAGCAGGTTCTGGAGAACCGGTAGCGGAAATTATGAGTAGTTCGGAGATCTGATAGTGGAGATTTTGAGTAGTTCGGAGAACCAGCAAATACCACCTCTGGCAGGGGTGAAATCCAAAATTTTTCCCTGCTGGTTTTGTGGGCGTGGCTTGGTGGGCATGGCAGGGGAAGGATACTGGAAAATCTCCATTCCCACCCCACTCTGGGGTCAGCCAGAGGCGGTATTTCCTGGTTCTCTGAACTACTCAAAATTTTGGCTACCAGTTCTCCAGAACCTGTTAGAACCTGCTGGATTTCACCCCTGACCTCTGGCTGGTCCCAGGGTGGGGTGGGAATGGAGATTTTGCAATATCCTTCCCCCGGAGTGGGATGGGAATGGAGATTTTGCAGTATTCTTCCCCTGGAGTGGGGTGGCAATGGAGATTTTGCAGTATCCTCCCTTGCCACGCCCACCAAGCCATGCCCACAGAACCGGTAGTAAAAAAATTTGAATTTCACCACTGGAGTAGGTTATATTGGGATTACAGGTAGTCCTTGATTTACAACCACAATTGAGACCAGAATTTTGGATCTTAAATGATATAGTCACTAAGCAAGTCATCACATGACCAACCTGATTTTACGACCATTTTTACGGCACTGGTTAAACAAATCACCATGGTTGTTAAGTGAATCTGGCTTTCCCAATTCACTTTTTTGGTCCAAAACTGGCCAGGAAGGTTGCATATTGTGATCACACAAGACTTTGCAACTGTCGGAAATGCAAGCTAGTTGCCAAATGCCCAAATTGTGTTCACGGGATTCTTAGGGTGGTGTGAGAGTCGTACTTTTGAGGATGCATTGAAAGCTGTTTTCTCCAAGGCTGTTGTAACTTTGGACCATCATTAAACGAATGAGCTCAAGAAGGAATGTGAATTGATGATACAGGTAGATTGAGTTGGTTTGGCCACATAGAGAATGACTGGGAATTACTCTGGATTTCTAATCTGGAAGAAAATATGCGCTGTCTTTCTGTTTATGAACAAGGACAGCATTGACAAAACAGAAAGACTTGGGAATATTCAGCAATCAGGATTTAACGTTTTACAGGAAAACTGACAGAATATCTTCAGTGGTGCCCAAGGGTGCTTTTTTAGGAGGCAAGTGGACTTTTTCCTTTTTCTTTGAAGACACAGACATTTAGCTATGCACTTTGGGATGAACACCCTTTGAATAGTGTGGGAGTATGAATGGATTTTCAGAAAAATTGCAGACCACAGGACCCATTTGTGCTTCAGTTTGAGATGCAGACAGCAGACTCATCCTCAACAGCCTGCACTATCTTCAACAGGGAAGGGACACAGGGCAGAAAACATCCTGCAGCCAAGAAAACTCCACACTCCTTTACACTACTCAGGTGACCCTGAGGACACAGATGAATCTCCTAGTGGCCTTGATAACTCACTAAAAGAATTCAAATGTCCAGCTGTCTGCAAGGAATATCCTTCCATTCCCCACCATCCAATCAGAGCCGAAGAAGCTTCTTGGATGAGAAGCAAAACATCTTCAAAAGAAAAGACAAGAAAGTTCAGTTGCCTCCTGAAGAAATACCATTGTATTGCTCAGTTCCCAAGACTCCATGATTTCTTGGGAGGGCGATATAACATAGATATGGAAAGAATGGAGGAATGGTAGAAGATGGTGGAAGCTCTTTGTATAATAGGTGCAGCTGATATCTGTCTCTCTCCTGCAGGGGGGAGTTGATGACCAGATCACTCTTTCAACTTACATCACCATTGCTTTGCTGGAAGTGCCGCTATCTCCCACCGTAAGTGTGCCAAGTGCAACCATGATTGCAGTAAACTAGCAGTGAGGAAAACCATGTTCAAGTTCCCACTTGGTCATGGAGTTCACAATCATTTAGGCTAATGAAATAGACCACACCTGACCAGCTTCATGGCACATGCAAAGCCATGTCATAGTCTGGTGAAACCAAAATGTAATTATATAAGCTGAATAAGCCGAATTACTTCTTCCTTATTCCTCCCCTTCTCCAATCAATTCTGTCCTTTTCTCTCTCCAATCAATTACGAGGCATGGTGGCTCAATGTCAGAGAGGGTCTCAGTTCCGGTGATTTGAGCTGAAGCCTATGTGGCAGGATGAGTTCCTGTCGCTTGCCTTAGCTTCTGTCCACCTAACAATTCAAAAGCATGTTTTATGCAACTAAATTGATAGGTACTACTTTGGTGAGGAGATGAACTGGTGCTCTGTGCAGGCAATCAGATTTGGCTTTGAACCTTTTCGGTTGTGGTGCCTATTTATGAGGCAGCTTTTGGAAGGGAGGGGGCCTTGGGTGACGCTGCAGGAAGAACACTCATCTTTTTCTTTGGTGTGAAGCCAGCTCACCCTCCTGTGGCGCACCTTGGGAAGCACAGAAATGTGTCCTATAACAGGGCTGGTACCTTGGCAAGCCAAACTACTACTCTGCAATAATATTGTGGTCTCCTGGCTACTGTAACAATGCCATGCGCTAATAATAATTCAATCAATAAGAGCCTTGGTAGTACAGTGGTCTAAGGCACCCTGTTATTAAGCTGGTTATTAAGACCAGCTGCCTGCAATTACTGCAGGTTCGAATCTCGCCAAGGCTCAAGGTTGACTCAGCCTTCCATCCTTTCTAAGGTAGGTAAATTGAGGACCCAGTTGTGGGGGCAATAAGCTGACTTTGTATAAATATACAAAAGAATGAAGGCTATTGCTGAGCACATTGTAAGCCGCCCTGAGTCTCCGGAGAAGGGCGGCATATAAATCAAATTAAAAAAAAAATCAATTCTGCCCTAACTTGTTTCTTCAGATTCGGCTTCTAATGGCCAGCTCTGACTCTTGGCAATTGACTGCACCAAAGTAATTCCTCCAAGCAAGATGTTCAGTGTTCTTTAGCAAGATTTATTGAAAGGAGAGAGAAAGGATTATGAAAACATCAACAGCTTTCACTTTAGGACCATGTTGTCTTTCAGCACATTAGAGTGAAGCCTTTTTGACTTTCTAAGGGCTTTTGTGCGAACTGGAAAGAAGGGGTTTCTTTTTACAAATAACAGAGGCGCCATTTTCAATCTTGATTTGCCCTGCTCCTCCTCCTCTCATGCTTGACCCACCAGTTTTCCCATCTTGTACCTCAGCTAGTGAGGAATTGCTAAGCCTTGTTCCAAAAACACAGGAGCATGTAGGAAGAGCAAGTAGCTGGTAGTGGCTCAGGCGGCAGAAATATCAAGATGAGCAGCTCAAGGGCTGACATTTCTGTGCTCTTCATTCATCCTGAGCTTCTAGAATTCTTTCTTTTCCTTGGAGGAAGAAAATTGGCTTGCATCAGTTAGACCATCAGCTTGCTGTTGGTGTATTGTTGTGAAGACTGTTTAATTTAACAACTTAAATGAATAATAAAGCCAATTTCATCACAGGGCTTTGCTGAGATCCTGAGTTTCTTCACAATCTCCTCTTCAGGAACCTTCCTCCATCTCCATCTCCTCCCCCTCTATTTCAAGTGTCGAAGGAGATACAAAGTTCTGTTTCTTGCATCTTTGGTGGCCTCAATCACTGTTATTTGATGCTGTTGTTGTGTGGCTTTGATGTTGTCTCTCATCTTCTTCTGGGTCTGCCTTGTGTTCTTTGGCCTTCTCTTTTTGTATATGCTTCTATGGTATAGACAGAATCTCAAGACATTCTCTCTAAATTACCACTTAACTTGCTATTTTTGCATATAGTTTAACATTGGATCTATTACATTTCTTTCTCTTACGATCTCGTCTTTTTATTTTATCCCTTCTGATCACTCCAGTAGCTTTCCTCAAACATCTCATTTCCGTGATTAATGATTAATTTTTGCTTATGCTTTATTACAAATGACCACGACACTGGTAATATAGGGTGGAGATGAATATGCTTTGTATAATGTTATACTGACTTTTATTAAACGTCTTTTTCTCTGCAGGATTCTGTGGTGCAAAATGCTTTAGTTTGCTTGGAGAAGGCAACTGAAGCAAAAGAGATCCGCATTTATCTCCGGGCTCTGTTGGCGTACGCTTTTGCTTTGGCGGGGAAAGAGGAGAAGAGGCAAGAAATGTTGGACTCTCTTCTAAAAGTAGCTGTGAAGGACGGTGAGAAACGAGCTCTTTGTTATGAAAATTAGGTACCCACCAAAGAAATTGGAAATGTGCAGCAAACTTTATTGGCGTGCGAAGAATAATGTTCATTGGAACCCCTCCCGCCAGTCAAGCCTATAACCTCAAGTTTTTTTTTCATATTTTATGAATTATATAATTCATTGTATAATTATATTTTATTTATTTATTAAATATAATTGCTGCCCATCTCATTATATGAGGATGGAAGCATACACTGATTCCATGAATAATTTATTAATGACCACTGGAAGGAAATAAGTGGGCAGATGAGCCGGAGAAGATATGCCTTCTGGCTATCATGGAATGAATCTCTCTCTCACATTAGCGTTGTATTAACACTCAGCATCTTATAACCCTCTATCATCATGGTTATGGGGTGGCTTATTGCCTTGAGGATCATTGAAATCTGTCTATAGGTAGCCATCATATGAGTGTAATTGAACCCAGAGTCATGATTATAAGTCATTGCAGTCATGCGTTGAGGCATCAGGTGACTGGATTCAAAGTTATGATCATTTTGTTATGACAGTCGTTAAGTAAACATGGCGGTTAGTAAGGGAATCCATTTTCTAATTTTTTGCTAGCAACTGGAAGTAAAAATGCTAGTAACTGGCAAAAGCCATCATGAATCATGCTCTCACATGACTGCAGGATGCTGCAAACAGTCATAACGGTGAGTCGGTTGCCAAGCACCAAAAACGTGATCACGTGACCACGGAGGTGTGAGTAGGTACAGGTAGCCTTCGCCTTACAATAGTTTGCTTAGTATCTAGAATGAAATCTAGAATAGAATTACAGAGTTGGAAGGGTCTTCTAGTCCAACCTCCTGCTGAAGCAGGAAACCCTACCCCATTTCAGACAAATGGTTGTCCAATCTCTTCTTAAAAACCTCCAATGTTGGGGCAGCCACAACTTCTGGAGGCAAGTTGTTCCACTGATTAATTGTTCTCAAGGTTAGGAAATTTCTCCTTAGTTCTAGGTTGCTTCTCTCCTTGATTAGTTTCCACCCGTTGCTTCTTGTCCTGCCCTCAGGTGCTTTGGAGAATAGCTTGACTCCCTCTTCTTTGGGGCAGTCCCTGAGATATTGGAACAGTGCTATCATGTCTCCTCTAGTCCTTCTTTTCATTAAACTGAACATACCCAATTCCAGCAACTATTCCTCATATGTTTTAGCCTCCAGTAACCATTGGAAGTTACAACAGCACTGGAAAGAGTGACTTATGGCCATTTTTCACACTTATGACCATTGCAGCATCCCTGTGGGCACGTGATTTACATTTGGATGCCTGTCAGCTGACTCACATTTATGATGGTTGCAGTGTCCCGGGGTCATGGGATCCCCTTTTGCGACTTTCTGACCAGCAAAGTCAATAGGGAAACCAGATTCACTTAACAACCGTGTTACTAATGTAACAGCTGCAGTGATACACTTAACAACTGTGGCAAGGAAATTCGTAAAATGGGGCAAAACTGAATTTCTCACAGCGACATAAATTTTGGGCTCAATTGTGGTCGTAAGTTGACTATTGTAACTCTAAAAACAGGTCATAAGTAGCTCTGTGGATATCCGTCACAACTTTGAACAATTGTTAAGTAACTGGTTGTACACTGAAGTCCACCTGGAATGTGCTTCTCCTGTTGCCCAGTTGCATAGGGCTTGATACCAGGGAGACCAAATGTTTTTGTACAGATACCAGTCGAAACTTGATATATCTCTGATGGTGCTTAGACTGTGTGTATAACCCAAAGTTAATTTCTCTCTTTGAAGAGGATGGCTCCATCCACTGGGAGAGGTCCTGGAAGCCAGAGCAGAGGTCTGATTTTCCACTCTCTGTGCGTGCTCCCTCTGCTGAAATAGAGATAACCTCCTACGTGCTCCTTGCTTTCCTGACCAAAAAACCATCTCTGTCCAAGGAAGAATTAACGACAACAACTGCCATTGTCAGATGGTTGATCAAACAACAGAATTCCAATGGAGGATACTCCTCTACACAGGTATGTTCGCTCCTCACAAATACTCAGAGGATGTAGAAAGGAGCAACTGGAAATGAATCTGATGTTTGTTTATTTGTTTGTTTATTTGATTTATATATCGCCCTACTCCCGATGGACTCAGGGCAGTGAACAGCCACAAGATAAAATACATAAATACAAAATTTAAAAACAGAATAAAGCCGAATTAAACAATTTGGCCCAAGACAAATTTAAAACACCCCAATAATTTAAAAACAAATTAAAATTTACATATTTAAAAGGGAAAAGGGGAAAAGATTAGGTCAGGCCAGCCTGGTGGAATAAAAAGGTCTTGAGAGCGCAGCGGAAGGTGTGCAGATTCGGGATCCTCCGTATCTCCGGGGGGAGCTCGTTCCAGATAGTAGGTGCCCCCACAGAGAAGGCTCTCCCCCTAGGGGCCGCCAGTCGACATTGTTTGGCCGACAGCACCCGGAGGAGCCCCTCTATGTGAGAGCGTACCGGCCGGTGGGAGGCTATTGGTGGTAGTAGGCGGTCCCGTAGATAACCAGGTCCTAAGCCATGGAGCGCTCTAAAGGTGGTAACCAAAACCTTGAAGCGCACCCGGAAGACCACCGGGAGCCAGTGCAGCAGGCGCAGGAGAGGTGTTACATGGGAGCGCCATGTCGCTCCCATAACCACCCGCGCGGCCGCACTCTGCGCCAGTTGGAGCCTCTGGGTGCTCCTCAAGGGGAGCCCCATGTAGACAGCATTGCAATAGTCCAGGCGGGAGGTGACGAGGGCATGAGTGACCGTGCATAAGGAGTCCTGATCCAGAAAGGTACGCAACTGGCGAATCAGGCGAACCTGATGAAAAATCCTCCTGGTCATGGCTGTCAAATGCTCTTCTAAAGACAGCCGTGAATCCAGGAGGACACCCAAGTTGCGAGCCCTCTCCGTGGGGGCCAGCGATTCGCCCCCAATAGTCAGTGATGATGCCAACTGACTATATCGGGACGTCAGAAACCACAGCCACTCAGTCTTGGATGGGTTGAGCCTGAGCCTATTCCTCCCCATCCAGATGCGCACGGCCTCCAGGCACTGGGCCATCATTTCAAGGGCATCGCTGGGTGGCCTGGGGTGGAGATGTAAGCTGAGTGTCGTCAGCGTACTGGTGGTACTTCACCCCGAAACCACGGATGATCTCGCCCAGTGGCTTTACATAAATGTTGAACAAGAGGGGCGAGAGGACCGACCCTTGTGGCACCCCACATATGAGGGGCCTCAGGGTTGACCTCTGCCCCCTGCCAACACAGACTGCAACCGGTCAGAGAGAAAGGAGGAGAACCACCGCAACACAGTGCCCCCCACCCCTAACTCTTTCAACCGGTGCAGCATGATACCATGGTCGATGGTATCAAAAGCCGCTGAGAGATCTAATAAGACCAGGACAGAGGAGCAACCCCTGTCCCGAGCCCTCCAGAGATCATCTACCAATGCGACCAATGCCGTTTCCGTGCTGTACCCAAGCCTGAAGCCCGACTGGAACGGATCCAGATACATCGTTTCATCCAGGTGCTCGGGGAGCTGTTGCGCAACCACACTCTCGACAACCTTCGCCGCAAAGTGAAGGTTGGAGACTGGACAATTAGCCAACAGTGCCGGGTCCAGGGAAGGCTTCTTGAGGAGAGGCCTCACCACCGCCTCTTTCAAGGCGGCGGGGAAGTCACCCTCACCCAACGAAGCATTTATATTCCCCTGGAGCCAGCCTCGCGTCACCTCCCGGGAAGCCAGCACTAACCAGGAGGGACACAGGTCCAACAAACATGTGGTCACATTCAGTCTGCCCAGAATCCTGTCCACATCCTCAGGAGTCACAGGATCAAACTCATCCCAGATAACATTCTCAAGACAAGACTCAGTCCCTCCCCCTGAAACTACCCAGTTGGAGTCCAGATCTTCCCGAATCTGAGTGATTTTGTCATACAGATACTGAACAAAATCCTCGGCTCTACCCTCCAAGGGGTCCTCCCGCGCTTCTTAGTGGAGCAGGTCACCCTAAACAGGGAGGCCGGGCGGTTATCTGATGATGCAATAAGAGCAGCAAAATAAGTACATTTTGCTGCTTTTATCGCCACTAGGTAATTCCTAATATGAGATCTTACCAGTGTCCGGTCGGATTCAGAAAGACTGGCCCTCCAACTACTCTCTAGGCGTCTTTTTCGGCGCTTCAACTCCCTCAGCTCCTCAGTAAACTAAGGAGCCAAGTGAGATCAGCGCCGGGTCAGAGGCCGCAAAGGCACGACCTGATTCAGAGGTCCAGCGGCTGCCCTATCCCAGGCGGCCACTAGGTCTCCAGTTGAGGTGTGTGCCAGAGCCTCAGGAAATGGCCCAAGCTCCAACTGGAACCTATCAGGCTCCATCAGGCGCCTGGGGCGGAACCATCTTACCGGCTCCGCCTCCCTGTGGCAGGGTGCAGTGGTTCGAAGATCGAGGAGAAGGAGAGAGTGATCTGACGATGACAAGGGCTCATTAACTATATCCCCTATCTCAAGATCACTCAACCACTGTCCAGAGACAAAAACCAGGTCCAGCGTGTTTCCCCCCGTGTGGGTAGGGCCATGAATTAGCTGGGTCAGGTCCATAGCTGTCATGGAAGCCATGGCTTAGGACCTGGTTATCTACGGGACCGCCTACTACCACCAATAGCCTCCCACCGGCCAGTTCGCTCCCACAGAGAGGGCCTCCTCAGGGTGCCGTCGGCTAGACAATGCCGGCTGGCGACCCCCAGGAGGAGAGCCTTCTCTGTGGTGGCACCTACCCTTTGGAACAATCTACCCCCAGAGATACGAGTGATCTCCGACCTCCGGACCTTTCGTCGGGCCCTAAAAACTCATCTCTTTCAGTTAGCCGGTCTCTCTTGATTTTATGATTTTATGGTTGGTTTTAAATTTTGATATGGATTTTAAATTGATAAATTTTAAACTATGGGCCAAATTTAATTATTTTAAATCTATTTTTAATCGTATTTGTGTATAAATGTTTTTATTTTGGCTGTTCACCGCCCTGAGTCCGAAAGGAGAAGGGCGGTATAGAAATTCGAATAATAAATAAATAAATAAATGAACTCCCGAGCCACCTCAGACGCCTCACCCATGGACGGCAGGTTGAAATCCCCCATGACCATAAGTCTAGAGGTATCAACTGCCACTGCGGCGATGACGTTGAGTAGCTCAGGCAGGGCTACTGCCACATGGCAGGGAGCCAGGTATGTGATCAGCAGATCTATCTGAACCCCATGACCCCATTTCACAAGGAGGGATTCACAACCAGCCGTCTGAGGAACAGTGGCCTCCCTCGGTCTCAGACCTTCTTTAATGATAACCGCTACCCCCTGCCCTTCCCCTGTGATCTCAGCTGATGGAATGCGTGGAAACCTTGTGGGCACATTTCAACGAGGGGAACCCCCCCCTCCTTGCCCAACCAGGTCTCCATAATACCTGCCAGGTCCGCTCCCCCCTCCTGAACAAATGAGGGGGGCTTTATTTACTACGGGCCTGGCAGTGCACAACATCAGCTGAAGGCCTGGGTCCTGAGGGTCTGTGCAACCTGGGGAATGAGTAGAGCCTTGGGGGCTGGAGCACGCCACTGCTCGTACACAGCGAGTGCGCACTCCCCTAACACGATATGGCCCCCTGCTCCTGCCATATCTACCCCTCCCACCCACTGTATTGATGTGATTTGATATGCCTTGGTATGGCCTCCAGATGTGCTGAATCTCAGTTCCCAGGATTTCCAGCTGAGGTGTGTCATTCAAGAGAGATAACTTCCTAACAGTGAGGGCAATTAACCAGTGGAACAGCTTGCCTTCAGAAATCGTGGGCACTCCATCACTGGAAGTTTTTAAGAAGAGGCTGAACAGTCACTTGTCTGAAATGATATCGGTTCTCCTGCTTGAGCAGGGGCTGGACTAGAAGACTTCCAAGGTCCCTTCCAGATTAGATTAGATTAGATTCGATTCCCATTCCCATCCCATTCCATTGCTTTCTCTTGCAGGATACTGTGGTGGCTCTCCAGGCCCTCTCCCAATACAAGACAGTTACTTATTCCAAGGATGGCATCGATGCCAGAGTGGCCTTGAGTTCAGGAAATGCTGTCCTGGCAGAATTCCAAGTGGACAGCGGCAACTCTCTGCTGCTGCAGTGCCAGGATCTGCCCCAAGTTCCCGGGAACTACAAGGCTGAGGTGACTGGTTGCATCTTTATGCAGGTGAGTGCTTGGTGAGAGAAGAGACCAGTGTTGATGCCTAGCAATGATCTATTTTGGGTTTCCAATGCACTTATGGGAATGCAAGTTGAGAAAAAAAGCATGAAAAAACTGAGCAAGTTAAGTAAGGGATGGGGAACATCTTTGAGAACAGAAGAACAGCCAGGCCAGATTAGGCCATTTAAGCCAGCATTTTGCTTCTCACGGTGGCCAGCCACGATAAGCAAGAGACAGAAATTATAATTCTCCCACAACTTGGCACTTGGGGGCCTGCTGTTCCCATTTCAGATATAACATGGAGCCGTGAGAGAGCTGTCTTCTGTGAATGCATCCAATCCTGCTTTAGAAGCCATGCAGGTTAATGACCATCACCTGGTCTTGAGGGAATGGTTTGTCATGTGCAATTTAATTTTGTTCCCAGAAAGGGAACAAAAAGCAACGAGCACCCAAAGCATAGATTAACATCAGACCAACAATCATGGTCAATCATAAAAACAATCATAAAAAGTGGAAAGAGGGGCAAATAACTAAGGCAGAATATCAGCAAATAGCCCGAGCCTGAACAAAGGCTTTAAGAAAAAAAGCTTCTTCCAACATATTAAAAACAAGAAAAAAGTCAAGGAAACAATTGGCCCATTGCTGGGAGAAAGTGGCAAGAAGGTGACAAGCTGAACTACTTAACTCATTTTTTGCATCTGTCTTTACACAAAAGGAAAACAGTCCAACCTATCAAAAACAGCACTACAAAAAACAGATTAGGAACACAAGTTAAAATAGGGAAGAAAATGGTAAGTGAACACCTGTCTACCCTAGACAAGTTCAAATCACCAGGACCAGATGGATTACCCCCCCAAGGTTCTGAAGGAACTGGCAGACGAGATCTCAGAACGACTGAACTATATCTTTCAAAGATCCTGGAGCACAGGGGAACTGCCAGAGGATTGGAAAAGAGCTGATATAATTCCCATCTTCACAAAAGGAAAAAAAAATAGATCCAGGAAACTACAGACCTATCAGCCTGACCCAGTGGTGAAATCTAAAATTTGTTACCACCGGTTCTGTGGGTGTGGCTTGGTGGGAGGGTGTAATGTGACTGGGTGGATGTGGCCAACTTTTTTTTTTTAACTTTTAAAACCATTTTTTCTACAACCTCTTCAGCGAAGAGGTTGTAAAAAAATGCTTTTAAAAGCCTCTGACAATCCCAGCTGAGTTGCCTGATCGGCAGAGGCTTTTTTTCTTTTAAAAGCCTCTGACGATCCCAGCTGAGATGCGCGATCATCAGAGGCTTTTTTTAAAAAAAAAACTTTTAAAAGCATTTTTTCGGCTGAAGAGGTTGGCGAAAAAATGCTTTTAAAAATAAAAAAAAAAGCCTCTGATGATCCCGCATCTCAACTGGGCATTGGGGGGGGGGCAGGGATTTTTGCTACTGGTTCTCCAAACCACCCGCCTCCATCGCTACCGGATTGGGCGATCTGGTCCAAACCGGGAGCATTTCACCCCTGGCCTGACCTCAATACCAGGGAAGATTCTGGAAAAGATAATCAAACAACGAATCACCAAACACCTAGAAGCAAACCAAGTAATAACCAAACGCCAACATGGGTTTGTCAAAAACAGATCATGCCAGACTAATCTTATTGCATTCTTTGATAAAGTGACAAAATTAGTGGACCAGAGGAACGCTGTCGATATAATATACTTCAGTAAAGCATTTGATAAAGTAGACCATAACCTACTACTAGATAAAATAGAAAAATGTGGGTTAGACAGGATCACCACCAGATGGATTCGTAACTGGCTGACCAACCGCACTCAACATGTAGTCCTCAATGGAACTGCATCTACATGGAAGGAAGTATGCAGTGGAGTACACCAGGGCTCTGTTTTAGGCCCAGTGCTCTTCAACATCTTCATCAATGACTTGGACGAGGGAATAGATGGGGAACTCATCAAATTTGCAGATGACACCAAGCTGGCAGGAATAGCCAACACTCCAGAATAGATACAGAAGGATCTTGACAGACTTGAACATCGGGCGCTATCTAACAAAATGAAATTCAACAGTGAAAAAAGCGAGGTTCTACATTTAGGGAAGAAAAACAAAATGCACAGGTACCGTATATGTGATACCTCGCTCAATAGTAGTCACAGTGAGAGGGATCTTGGAGTCCTAGTGGACAACCATTTAGATATGAGCCAGCAGTGTGCTGCAGCTGCCAAAAAAGCCAACACAGTTCTGGGCTGCATAAACAGAGGGATAGAATCAAGATCACATGAAGTGTTAATACCACTTTATAATGCCTTGGTAAGGCCGCACTTGGAATATTGAATTCAGTTTTGGTCACCACGATGTAAAAAAACATGTTGAGACTCTAGAAAGAGTGCAGAGAAGAGCAACAAAGATGATGAGGGGACTGGAGGCTAAAACATGAAGAACGGTTGCAGGAACTGGGTATGTCTAGTTTAATGAAGAGAAGAACTAGGGGAGACATGTTAGCAGTGTTCCAATATCTCAGGGGCTGCCACAAAGAAGAGGGAGTCAAACTATTCTTCAAAACACCTGAGGGTAGAACAAGAAGCAATGGGTGGAAACTAATCAAGGAGAGAAGCAATTTAGAACTAAGGAGAAATTTCCTGACGGTTAGAACAATTAATAAGTGAAACAACTTGCCTGCAGAAGTTGTAAATGCGCCAACACTGGACATTTTTAAGAAGATGTTGGATAACCATTTGTCTGAAATGGTGTAGGGTTTCCTGCTTGGGCAGGAGGTTGGACTAGAAGACCTCCAAGGTCCCTTTTTTATTTTTTTATTTTTATTTTTAATTTGATTTATATGCTGCCCTTCTCTGGAGACTCAGGGCGGCTTACAATGCGTTAAGCAATAGCCTTCATACTTTTGTATATTTATACAAAGTCAGCTTATTGCCCCCACAAACTGGGTCCTCAATTTACCTACCTTAGAAGGTAAGGATGGAAGGCTGAGTCATCCTTGAGCCTGGTGAGATTCGAACTTACAGTAATTGCAGACAGCTGGATGTTAATTACAATGCATTAGTCTGCTGAGCTATCCAGGCTCCTCCTTCCAACTCTGTTATTCTATTCTATTCTAATCATGGTGTGGAAATGGATTTCCAGAGAAAAATTGCAGACTACAGGAACCAGGAGCACTACTAGCCTTCTGAAAAGTACTGAAGACCTGGCTTCCCCCCCTCGGATATTGGGATAGGATGATGTGGACAAAAGGATTAATGATTGACTGGAAATTTAGCTTTGGTGCTAGATTTGTAATGTTTATGGTTTTAATGGTATATGTATTTTATTGTTTTATTATTGATGTTTTAATTGTTGGTTGGGGGCTGGGTAGAGTGTAAAATGGGGAGCTACAGAAATATTTTTTAAAATACATAATTTATACAATCTAATACAAAGTAAGAAAAATAAGAAAAGAAATCAAAGAGAAAGCTAAAACTGTAAGAAATACGGAAGTAAAAGAAAAATAGAAGTAGCTTTTGAACTTTACAGCAGTTATAAGTAAAACCATAAATACACCTCTTACTCCAGGGTTACAACAAAACTCTCTTCTTTTTATAATCTATCATGTCCAATCATCAAAACCATAGATTATGTTCAATTTTCTATTTCATTTGTAAAATAATAAAGTGTGGGATACAATTAAAGGGACACGATGGCTCAGTGGTTAAAGATGTTGAGCTTGTCAGCTCAAAAGCTGACGGCCCAGGTTCAAGAACTGAGTGTTGCATGACGGGATGATTTCCCGTTCTTGCCTCAGTTTCTGCCCACCTAGCAGTTCGAAAGTATGCAAATGCAAGTAGATAAATAGGTACCATTTCAGTGGGAAGTGTTCTATGTGTTTTGGGGTATAATCATGCTGGCCACATGACCATGGAAATGTCTTTGGACAATGCTGATACCCTTGGCTAAGAAACTGAGATGAGCACCACACCCTAGAGTTGAACACAACTGGAAAGGGGAAACCTTTATCTTTACCTTTACAAATAAATAATAAAATAAATAAAAAGTCCATAAGGGGTTTCCAGTCAGCAATAAACATAGGTATTTGTCTTTTCTCTGATCAGATAAGTCAATTTGGCCATCTCAGTGAATTCCATCCTCTTCACCAACCATTTCTCTATTATGGGGGATGCTGAATCTTTCCATCTTTGCGCATACAATAATCTTGCTGCAGTTACCATGTACCACAACAAAGTTCCATGACTTTTTCCCCAACTGTTTGTTGCTCTTTTATGTATCCCACTTGTTTTAAACCTCTAAATTCTTCTGTCACTGAAGTGTTGAACATCCCCAAATGATGGCCTTTCCATTCCAGACCACCTTGAAATACAATGTCCCTTTGCGGCAAGAAGATGCATCATTTAGGCTGGATGTGCACACCGTTCCGGAGACTTGCATAGGAAATAAAACTCATGTCACTTTTGACATTGCCATGAATGTCAGGTAATCTCTTTCTTGGATCGGTGCTGAGCCTTGTTTCCTTGAACAGATACAGACCCTTCTCCTCCAGGACCATGTCCGAGGGTCCAAAGGCTGCTACTCACCTCCCCAGCTTTCTGAAAGGCCATAGTTCCACATTCCAGAAGTTCCATTTAATGGCAACACTGGATGGAGACCCTGAGGGCACAACCAAGCTTTTATGAACCCGCATGCAGCATTTCGCCTCAAGCTGTCTATTTCTTGCTCTAAAAAGAGTCACATGTTTTCTCTCCTTTCTTGGTTTCTCAGTTACACTGGCCAACGTCTGGTTTCCAATATGGCAATTGTCCACATTAAGATGCTGTCCGGATACATCCCAGTGAGATCCAGTGTAAAAAAGGTATTTTTTCCAGGTTCCCTTTTCCGCTAAACTTTCAGTGCTGTAGTTCTTGATGCAGGTAATTCTCGACTTATGACTGTGATCAACCTTGGAATTATGGTCGCAAGTTGTGCTGATCACTAAACGGGTCAACATTTGACTGTGCCTAATTTTACAACCATTTTTCTTTCTTTTATATATATATTATTTATTGTTTTATCATAAAAAGATAAAATACAAAACAGAAAAGCAAACAAAACAAAAGCACACATTAAACACTAATAACAGAATCGTGTATAAAAAAAGGAGAAAAAAGTGATCAAATAAATTTAACATTTAACATGTAGGATCTACCCTACTTGGGCACTGAAAAAAAAGGAAAGAAAAAGCAGTAAATTCTCCCCTTTTACATATATGTGGGTATATATGTATAAATATGTATCTTTTAACAACCTTTTTTCTGATGAGCATTCAGTGCATTATTGTCTGCAATTTGGGGTTTTTTTGGTGGAAATTGGAAGTAAATACTGGTTTCTGATAAAAACCATTATAAATTGTGATCACATGACTGTGGGATGCTTCAAAGAGGCAGAAAGGCAGGTGGTTGCCAAGCACCTAAAATGTGATCACATGACAATAGGAGGAAGGCAACCAGGTGGAGTGACCATGGGGAAGTCTGTCATAACCTTGAATGGTTGCTAAGTAACTGGTTGTAAATTGAGAACTACCTGTGATGGGAAATGGGAATTAAGAATGCTAAAACAGATTTGTTGACTATTGATATTTTCTCCAATGAAAATAGCAGTTGCCTTTCTTTCTCATGACATGAAATATTGCACCTTTCCATACAATCCAAAGTTAGCCATAACTTCGTGGTGGATTCTTTACTGAGTGGGAGGTTAACTTGGTGACTTACAAGATCACTTCTAACTCTGTTTCTATGGCCACCTAGTTCAACAGTATGACTATGAATGTTACTAAAGCTCTTTCCATTTTTCAAATGTTTTCACCCCTGAAGCTGGAAAAGAAAGGTCAGATCAAGAGGACTGAAGTGAACATCAATCATGTCCTGCTATATTTGGATGAGGTGAGTAAGGAGTGGAGCCCAAATAGGGGACAAGATCATTCACTCAAGGGGATAAAATCCATTGCACAATTGTAGGTTAAAACATTATAGAAAAAAAATTAAAAAAATTAAAAAAATCCAGGGCAGGACCCCTTCCTTTCTCCTTGTCCTTATCTTTCTTGGAAGCAAGGAGTCACAAGCTTATTATGGGCTGTTTTTTTTCCCCAAGTGGTTGACACAATGTGCCACTCCTCTACTTCTGGTCAATGACAGCTTCTCTCTACACAAAGACGTACACTCTGGGGCAGGTATATTTTCCTGTCAGTGTTTGTCAACTTTGGTGACTTCAAGATATCTGGACTTCAAACCCCAGAATTTCTCAGCCAGTAAGCTTGACAAACCTTGTTTTATGTGAACAAACGGCATCTCTCTCATCTCTCTCCAATAAAAGGGAATATATGTAGTTCAAGGTTCTAAAGATGTATGTAGCTCATGACAAGCTACCATATGTAGCTCAGACCAAGCTAAATCCAAAAGCACTACGGGATTCCTGGAAGCTTAGCATTCAGACAAATCAGCCTTCAACAGACACAGAAATCAAGCACATTTACACACCATTCAGAAAAGACAATAAAAAGCTAAGAAGGAAACAAAATGATCAGAAGACATACTCTCCAGTAGCCTACACCTAGATAAGCAGAGACTAATTCCAGACAAACAATCAAGCAGAAAGCAATCAAGTAAAAAACTATCAAGGAGAACCCTCCCCTCCAACACAGGCAGGGCAAGCTACTGGGTATAAACAAATTCCATATCACTAGCACTGAAGATGATACTGAGTCAGGTATAACCAGTGGTGGGTTGCCCCCAGTTCAGCCCTTTCTTGTGAACCGATAGTAAAACCGGTGGGAGGCTCCACTGACCCAGACATCATCATGGATGATCTGTGCACGCGCAGAAGTGCATGCGCCACATGCGCACTCCCATTGTGAACCGGTAGTAAAGGTAAGTAGAACCCACCCCTGGGTATAACGGAAACAACCAAGCTCAGAGAACAAAAAGGGCTCTACAATGTGTTGCCTGCAGAAGCTCTCCATCTTGTTTGTAATCTCATAGTCAACTTTTTTCTGCAGGTACACAACACAACCCAGACTTTCTCCTTTACAGTGGAGCAGGAGACACCCGTCCAGGGCCTGAAGCCTGCCTTGGTGAAAGTCTATGATTACTATGAAACTGGTGAGAAGGGACTGAATGGTGGTAGTTCCAATCAGCTTGTTTAATTAATTATTTTTCAATGTGCGGTTGCTTGGCATTTTTTCTTCCTTTTGCATTGGGAGATTTAGGGCTCAAAAGGGGCAAAATTAACGGCTTTCAGCTTTGCTGAAAGTAGACATATGTTTGGCCCTTACAGCAGGGTTCCCCACCCACCTGGCCGTGGCCCAGTACCAGGCCATGGCCTATTCAGAACTGTGGTTGTGTGAGCAGCAGGTTGACATGCATGCGCGTGCGTGCACTCAACCTGCATGAGTGGCGGACTGGTACGTGTGCGCATGTGCATGCCACACCACTGCTTACGTGGCCCAGTTCCCCTCTCCCCCACTGCAAAGGTTGGGAACTGTTGACTTAAAGCAGTGCTTGGTGGGAAAAATCCATCAGATTTTTGGGGAGAGTTCAGGATTTTTAACAAGACAGATAAAATTACCTCTTGCACAACATTTGAAACTGCATGTAAAATTAGAGGACAACCCCTTTGTACTCCTGGAGCAAAGTCCGTATCGTGAACCATATGATGGAGATCAAAGTCCCTAACAAACTTTCTTTTTTTGTGTTCCAGATGAATTTGCAACAGCTGAGTACACTGCCCCCTGCAGTTCAGGTAAAGCATGAGTTGCCATTGGCTCAAATGTGTTTTAGGTACATGTACTCCTCAATTTATGACCATAATTGAGTCCAAAACCATTCGTTTGGTGACTGTTCAAAGTTACAACTGCATGGAAAACAGAGACTTACAATCGTTTTCACCCTTATGACCATGGACACTTGGCAACTGGCTCATATTTATGACGGTTGCAGTGTCCTGGGGTCACCTGATCACCTTTTGCGATTTCTGATGAGCAAAATCACTGGGGAAGCCAGATTCACTTTACAAGCTTAACAACTGCAAATACACAGGTACACTTTAGTAGCTTAAAAACTGCAGTGATTTACGTAACAACTGTTGGCAAGAAAGGTCGTAAAACTCACTTAACAACAGAAACTTTAGGCTCAATTGTGGTCGTATGTCGCGGACCACCTATAGTTACTTCTCTGGCTTCTTTCAGGACGACAATTTGTCCATTTGGTTTGTGTGTGGACAAAATGAGGAGGGAGTTATTTCATTTGGGCGTTCTGCCTCATGCCCACCTAAACTTTGTTTTTTACCAACCTTTCTTACTTTCTTTCTAACTTTTCTTCCATGACAGATGATATCAAGGAAGTCTATAAAGCATAAGGATACAGGCCAGGTTTTCTGGAATAGGACATGATCGGAAAGAATGAATCTCCTGGAAACTAGGGAAGAACATGATTTTATATGCAAACATTAAATGCTCAATACTAAAATGTTTTAATATTTTGATTTTAACACATTTTTTTGAATTCTAAGCCACCCAGAGTCATTGACTGAAATGGATGGCTATAGAAACTGAATGAATGGAATAAATAAATAAACAATTGTTTTCAGGATCAAGGTAGTGCCTTTATTTTTTTCTCATAGCTGAGCTATGAGAAATAATGAATCTATTCATTATTTCCCAAATGAGAATCAAGTGTGTGTTTCCACCAGTCCTGGCAGCAATCCAAATGGCATGCTGTAGTGCTGAACACTTTGTCTTTTTAATTTTGGGGTGGGGTAGGGTGGGGTCCAGGAAGATATTTTCTTAGGTATAAATAAAAATGTAGTTTTATGTTCAATTGGGTATCTCAAATACTTCTATATCTTACAAATGCTGGGCAGCTTTTTTTCCCACTTAGTATGCTGCAATTTTTTGCTGTGTATATGATAGTAAAAAAATGTTGTCCATAATTTAAGGAACAAGAAGTGTCAACCCATCCAATTAAACTGGACAGGCAATACAACTAGATGAGCTACATCTCACCTAGAATACTGCATTCAGTTTTGGTCACAACTCTATAAAAAGGATGTTGAGACTCTAGAAAGAGTGCAGAGAAGAGCAGCCAAGGTGATTAGGGGTCTGGAGGCTAAAACATACAAAGAACGGTTGCAGGAATTGGGGATGGCTAGTCTAGTGAAGAGAAGGACCGGGTTGACATGATAGCCGTGTTCCAGTATTTGAGGTGTTGTCACAGAGAGGAGGGGGTAAACCCATTTTCCAAAGTACAGAAATTATTTGACAGTGAGAACAATCAACCAGTGGAACAGCTTGCCTTCAGAAGTTGTGGGTGCTTCATCACTGGAGGCTTTCAAAAAGAGACTGACCAGCCACTTGTCAGAAATGGTATAGGGTCTCCTTGAGCAGGGAGTTGGTCTAGATGACCTACAAGGTCCCTTCCAACTCTGTTCTTTTGTTATTCTGACATGCTTAACCCAAAGAAGAGCAGGTCTGAGGAGAAAGATGATAGCACCTGCTATGAGTCTGTTATTTGACTTTATTGTAAGGCTATATTAATAATATAGCCCTGGTGGCGCAGCAGACTAAAGTGAAGCGGGATTTATGAATCCCAAATAAGCCAGGAGACAAGACCACAGAGATCCAGAGAAAACAGACTTTTATTGAGTATTGCTAGCAATAGGCCCAGTGCAGTAACCTGGCAAATACTGAGCCCCGAGCAACGCCCTGAGGCAGGTTTTATAGGTTTCATGATTATAACATGGTTTCAGTTCCTCTTAGGATAATGCGATATGCCTACATACAGATTGGTAAAATGGAAAAGTACAAATACAGAAGTACATAATGGAAAAGTATAAAAGCAGAAGTATATGGGTATACACTCCTATAGGGTTTACACAATATTACCTAGGAACATCTTGTGGTTACAATGATTACAACACTATAGTTACGACAGATTGCTACAGAGAGTACAGATTTAGGATAAAGGGTAATACATTTATAGATACGTTATAAATGATATAAAAGCAAGGCCTTTAGGATACATACTGTTAGGATACACCATATGAGGGGCTCTCCTTCATTCCCCCCTGTTGAGACTTTGCCAAGTGCTGCAGTCACTGCAAAGTTTCATATTCGAGGTTACCTTCCGTGACACTACGCCCCTCAATGTCCACAAGTTTCTGGTATTCCCACCAGGCCATTGCCTGGGCTGTGGCCTTTTTGTCAACCAATAAGGACAGGGTACTGGTAATGGTGCGGATAAAGATTGGGAGTACACAAGGCAAGATAACACATCCAGCAGCGATGAGACCGATGAGAGCGACAATAGCCTGCAAACCCGGTAATTTTGGAAACCATCCCGAGAAAGCATCAGCCAGGTTAAGGCCTCTCCATGTCTGAACAGGGACATGTGCAATCTTGACCATCTTATCGGTGATTTCCTTAATAACATGGCCACTATCATCAATCTCAATGCAGCAATTTGAAAGGTTGAACTTACCACACACCCCTCCTTCTTTGGCAAGCAAATAGTCCAAGGCAAGGCGATTCTGCATAATATAGGTTCTAGATTTCACACTTTCCTTAGCCAGCTTAGTGAGGCCCTTAACTGTTTCATTAGTTATGATCTCAACCACCGCCTGCAAACGAATGAGGCGATTGAGGAGATAAATTGGGGTTCGGTAACCCCACATGCCATCCTCAGCCCATGTAGCCGGGCCGTAGTACTGAATTATCCTTTCTGCAGGCCATTCCTCTTCCTGGAATGTGTGTGAGCCGCCTACCTTAACCTTTTCAATAGCGGATGTGTCAACATGGCGGCGGGACCTAATGAGATTCCCAATTTCATCATAGACCGGCACACCCAAAATCTGCCTATTTCGGAGTGGTAACAAGAAGAAGCCTGGGCGAATGATTCCCAGGACACAGGAGCCACACCAACCCGCAGGGAGTTCAGCATAGGCAAAGGCACCGCATAACCAATACATACCATCTGGAGCCAACCAAGGCACAGCTTTATTCATTGGATCCAAGATGTACCCTTGCAGAAGCTGCACCCTTTCCAGAGCTGTGTCATCGGTGGTGTAGGTCCTGTTAGTACCAGACCACCAGGTACGATTGTTCCAGGCAGAGCGGCAGCGAAGAGAGCCGACATAAAAGCAGCCGTTGGAACGATTCCTAGTGTAGCAGACAGAACCTACCAGGTTAGAAGTTAAAGCCCAGGTGCCATCCTTTCCAGGGGTGGCAGTGAGGTTATTACGATGTTCCATATCCAGGACAGTGGAGTAATTAAGTTCCTGTGCCTCCCATGGCCATTTGTCACCCATGTTTGTACCTCCACAGACAAAACAATTAGAAACGTTAAGGGTATGAGCGATGTCCTCTGCTAATCGGACAAAGGTATTATGTACCTGGGCAGGGAAATCAGGAATGTTAAGCTTAGCAATTTCCTCATAGAAAGACCAGAAGAGGTGTTTAGTATCGCCACGGGATCGTGCCCGTTTGGTGAATTTAATCCTTATTTTAGCTCCTGGGTCCCTACCTCTGCCATCAATTTGAAAACCATAATCAGCAAAGGCTCCATCTCTATTCATAGACCAAAGCGAATGATGGAAAGTTAGGACAACGGGATTACATTTTCCCAACGGACAATTACTTGCAGCTACTCCATTCCGAAGGGAGATAGCCTGGGTACTATCCGTCTTGGAGACACAACTCTTATAGGGACACCAGTTGTAGGTATCAGCGATGTGACAATCAGGTTTTGACCTGGTCTTGAGACACATGTATTTGCTGTTGAACATATACTCTCTCTCCCAGTCCAGCCCCCCGCATCGGGTTTGATAATAGCCTCCTCTATTGATGAGGTTACAAGCATCAAAGGTAAGTGTCAGGGATTGTTGTCTGTAAGGGGTAGAATTTGAAGCAACCAATTCCAAGCCAGAACCACCCATGTGATATAGGTAGACCCCATGTTCAGTCCACTTGGTTATCTGTGAGGGGTCATAACATTGAACTACCGCCCTCTTATCCCTGCATCTCCTATAAATTGTGTTATTCAGAGTGCAGGTTGATAATTCGGTCGGACAATCGTCCGGCTTAGCAGTGTGGTAAATTAATGTATTGCTAATAACCTGATCCGACCTGGTAGTGACTATGCATTCGGCACACGAGGATGGTATCGGTGCCTTTGGTGGTTGCTTAAGTTTGGGTGCTGGCTGCCGAGGAGGAAAGGGACCAATACGGTAACAGTATGGTGCGTCGTTAAGAACACAAACCTTATACTGGACAGAGTCCCGTGTACATGTCCGTCCTTCGCTGCACATGGAGGTAAGCAGTGGGGTATAAAGGAAACTGCTTTGTCTTACACAAGGGGAGCACTCTGTCAGGTCCCCTTCCTGCAAATAGCAATATATCCCCCCTGTCCCATTGCACCGGTTATACAGTACTTGTCCAGCCTTACAGGTGGTTAGATCGAACTGAGTGCATGAAGCAGGTTTCCCATACACCTTCCTGTTTGTCTCACAACTACAAGGGCTCTGCCCGAGCGCATGGTCTATCTGCACCTCGCGAGTGGTCCTGTGCTTGCGCGAGGTACCGTGATGGTCAGAGCCAAAGGGGCGTATGAGATGGCATTTTTGTAAAGGATCATCGTTGCAGCGTAAGAATGAGTAATTCTTATATTTACATGGGGGTAGGTACCCAGAGGAACAATTAGGTGCTGCAAGTAGTGTGAAGGCGAAGCGCCGGCCGATTGACAGGGACAGGAAACAGTCAGTACATAGTGACGGTGTTACAACTGTAGCCAGGGAACGAGGTTCCTGACTAGGGCTGAACTCAGGTTCAATTCCCACAGGGTCATAAAACAGAACTGGATCCAATGTAGGTGACATGTTTCCTCCTAACCATGTCCAAATGTCATCATCCGTGGGGAAGCGCTTGCCCTGATCCAGAGGCGAAAGGGGACCTTCCAAATCCAAGCTCCCCTTCCCCCCTGTTCCCAGCAGAACACGATAAAGGTAAAGTGAATTAATAACGATACTGGCTAGTAAAAGAACAATAACAACCCAAATAGAAGGCAAAAGGCCACGGCGAATACAAGCCGTCTCACGGATACGCTGGGCTGGGTCCATTTAAGACCAATGATAGGAATATGTAAGAGGTGGTTGACTAAGGGCTGTGAGAACTGTAGGAGTTGCCGATAGGGTAGAGACCCGTTGGCCAGATGAATTAAAGTAGAAGAATCCCTCAAGAACCTGTTCAATAACTACTATATCACAAATAAGGGTACAGTGAATACACAAAACACAATCAATACAATGGGAACAGCAGCAGGAGTCGCAGGGGCAGGGGCAAAACCAGCACATGAAATCAAGGAGATGACGAGGGGACCTTCCTCCCAGAGCGCAGGGTAAAGCGAGGAGAGTTGCCCGTGCGATGGGTATTAGCCTCCGGAGTAATACCTGCAAGGGGTTCCTCTTCGGCTCCCGTTCGTAGAGGGACAGCTTCCGGAGTGTCACCAGAAGGGGCAGCCACAGGTGCAGCGCGCTGTCGGCGAAGGGTGAGACGCAAAGGCTGCTCCGGATGGGAATCCACCTGCCACGCGGATGAAGCGGCAACCTTGACTCGTGACCAATGGATCCAAGGCTTAATTTCAGCAACTTTAATAGCAAGCGGAGAAGTCATAACTACAGAGAAGGGACCTCTCCACTTAGGACAAAGAGGTTCCCGTTTCCACTCCTTAACCCACACTTCCTGACCAGGGGAGATGTTGTGAGAGGGGGTTACAATCAGGTGTGGGCGGGAAGACAAAACATAATCCTGTAACTTGTGAACCATTCGATTAAGTGATTGAAGCTGTTGGAGCTTAATAGTGTCTCCCAATTGGGTCTCGGAAGACAGAGAGGGACGAACTAAGTTGGGAATCCTCCCATAAAGCAATTCAAAAGGGGAAACAAGCAAATCTTTGCGAGGTGCGCAGCGCACAGCGAGCAGAGCCATTGGCAAGGCATCTGGCCACTTGAGGTGCGTTTCCTGACAAATTTTCGCCAGTTTGTCCTTAATTGATCTGTTAACCCGTTCCACAAAAGAACCACTACTGGCGTGGAAAGCACAATGAAGGCGCCAGTGTATACCCAACATAGTGGAAATTTTCTGTGTTGCCTTATGAATGAACTCCGGGCCATTATCTGAAGAGATCTTAGAAGGCAGGCCGTAACGAGGAATGATAAGCTGCAAGAGGGCCTTTGTGACCTCAGAGGCCCGCTTAGTACGAGTGGGAATACACTCTGGCCAACCCGAATATGTGCAGATAATGACAAGCAGGGCAGTGTATGAACCAGATCGGGGCAAATCGGTGAAATCAATCATAAGTGAGTCAAAAGGAAAATCTCCTCTAGGCTGATGTCCTTGCGGGGGTTGGGGTCCCGTTCTAGGGTTGTTAGCTGCACAAGTGTGGCACCTGGAGCAGACGTTGGCTGCAATGCTATGGACTTTGTTGATATAGAGTTCACGCAACAAGGCATGTGCTAAAGCAGTCTTGCCCAGGTGCAATTGCGCATGGACCTGATTAGCCACATCCCAGGCCAGGTGGCCCGGGAGAAAGACACGAGAATCGGGCAAGATCCACCAACCCCCCTGTAGGGAAGCATCGAGCTCACGGGCTTGGGCAAGTTCAGATGCACTATAATGAGGCTGCATAGAGTCCGGGGGGTTCCATAAGGTGAGACAGTGTGCCTGCAGCTTGAAAGGTTTAAAAGCCGCGTGGCGAGCCTCCTGATCAGCCTTATGGTTCCCCAGTTGCGAGTCAGATGGTGATTTCTGATGGCCCCGACAGTGCATAACAGCCACCTTGCGTGGGGCCCAAACACTGTCCAACAGGCGGAGGATCTGTGGACCATACTTGATGTCCTTTCCCCCTGCAGTAATGAGTCCCCTTTCTTTATATAATGCCCCGTGGACTTGAACAGTTAAAAAAGCATATTTTGAATCGGTGTAAATGTTAACATTCAGATTTCTAGAAAGCTCAAGGGCTCTAGTTAAAGCATGGAGCTCTGCCAACTGAGCACTAGTACCAGGAGGGAGGGGCTCGGCTTCCCAGACATCCGTTTGAGTAACAACAGCATATCCGGCCTTACGAACCCCATCCAGAAGGAAACTAGTGCCGTCAGTGTACAGTACATAGTCAGGATGGGAAAGAGGGACATCTGACATATCAGGGCGGCTGGCATATGTTTCCCCAATTGTCTGAATGCAATCGTGGGCAGTATCAAGATCAGGCTCAGGAAGGATTCATAAATCCCGCTTCACTTTAGTCTGCTGCGCCACCAGGGCTATATTATTAATATAGCCTTACAATAAAGTCAAATAACAGACTCATAGCAGGTGCTATCATCTTGATGGAATGTAGGCTCCAGATATCAAGAAGAGGAGCGTGAGAGCCAAGAGCACTTCAGCAGGTGTTTGCCAAAGCCAAAGACTTTTTCTCATAACAATACAATGAGACTCAATTGGACCATATGATCTGCACTAATGGTGGGGAGGGAGAATCCTATACTTTATGTGGGTTTGTGTGGGAATTAGCTAGATCTGGTTTTGCCCTAATCAGTGATCACCTTTTTATCTACATCAAGGTGTTTGTCCAGGTTACCTGCTGTATTTCATGTCATGGTAAGCAAAGATCCTTAACCTATTTGGCTCCTGTGCTCCATTCCCTCTGCTTCGTGATGGGGTTTTTTTCTGCATATGCACTGATGGAGCAATTAGAGGATGGACTTTGGGTTTTTTTTTTTTAAAGCCAGCTGAAATCAATAAGACTAACCCCAGCTGGCAGTTTCCCAACAGCACTTGTGTGTCAGCCAAAGAACTTGGGGAAAATTTATTTTTTCAGGGCTTGCACCTGCAGACCTGTTACACATAAACCTGCCTTCTTTGATTAAAAAACAATAAAAACTGGAGATTTGGGGGACAGACACCTCTCTGTAAAAGATTTGGAGATTTTTCATAACCAACATAATAGAAGCTGGCATAGGATTTATGTCACGCATCACTTTCCACTCCCATTTCCAAGGAATACATGGATGATTCACAACTAAACTCAGAGAAGCCTTTGGAGGCAACGTACAAGGGATAGCAATACCACTTATACACCACTTCACAGTGCTTTACAGCCCTCTCTAAGCGGTTTTAGAGAGTCAATATATTACCCCCAACAATCTGGGTCCTCATTTTACCGACCTTGGAAGGATAGAAGGCTGAGCCAACCTTGAGCCAGTCAGAATTGAATTGCTGAACCATGAGTGGTCATGTGAGTAAACTGAGATGGCTTGTTAGCCCCAATCCAGAGAGACAGCTAGAGCTGATCATTTCTTAAGCAGTTTTTCTCAAGCTTGACTACTTTTAAATTATGTGGACTTCAACCCCCAGAATTCTCCCTACGATGCTGGCTGGGAGATTCTGGGAGTTGAAATCAACACAGCTTAAATTTGCCAAGGTTGGGAAACGCTAAAGTTACAAAATGAACAGGGAGGGTCTCTGTATGTGAATCAATTTATCAGCAAAATATCTGCAGATACCTGGCATTTTAACCTCACCTCCCAGCTCGCTTAGCCTCCTGAGGGGGACAGGGATCGCTGGCCCTGCAGGAGGAGAGCCCCTTCCCGTGGCTGTGTCTTCTAATGAAATTTCAAGCAAATGTAGTTATACTTAAAAGAGACGGTACCTGGAAAATACGTTGTACCTTGTAGGGAAATGTAAATTCATATATAATAAGGAAAAGAAAAAGTTGAAAGGGAAGGGAAGTGGAGAGATGAAGGGAGAGAGGGAAGTGGAGTGGGGCAGAGGAGAGGAGAAAAGTCGAGGGAAGAGAAGAAAGGAGATGGAAGAGGGAAGTAGAGAGGGGAAAGGAGGGAGGGAAATGGATGAGAGGAGATGAGTAGGAGAGAGGGAAGGAAAAGGACGTGGAGGAGAGAGGAGAGGGGCGAGAAGAGGAAAAGGGAGAAGGAAGGGGAAGGAAGTAGGGGAAAAGGGAGATATATATAGAGATATATGATACAATTATGAAAATAATGCTTATAACTATGACGTACAACACCATGCATTTAAAAGAGACTATAAATTTATGATTAAGAGAATATTGGTTATAATCAAGACCAGATACAGCCACCACACTGTCCTTGCAAAATTGGAAATGTGATGTATTATAAAGAAAATGTACAATAAAATATTTATAATAAAAAAAGTTATCAGCAAAATATCTGGAGATACCTGGCATTTTAACCTCGCTTCCCGGCCGCTCGGTCACCTAACCTCCCGAGAGAAGGAGGGAACGGTATTTTCTTTGACGGCTGGCACTGCAGGAGAGCCTCTTCCCGTGGCCGCCGTTACATGACACAAGTCTTCCTCTTCTTCGCCAGTACAGCAAAGCCTAAAGGGTGAGCGACTCGGAGGCATAGGAAGCAGCAAATTATCACCCACACGGCAGAGACGGGAATGGGACCAGTTTGCGCCGCTCTCGCCACGCTACAATCCTCAGGCTGACGCCATTGGGGTGGGTGGGTGAGGGAGAAACGAGCGCTTCCTCCTCAGGCAGAAGCCGTTGGGGGGGGGAGAAACGAGCGCTTCCTCCTTAGGCAGAAGCGTGGGGGGGGGGGGGAGAAACGAGCGCTTCCTCCTCAGGCAGAAGCCGTTGGGGGGGGGGAAAGAAACGAGCGCTTCCTCCTCAGGCAGAAGCCGTTGGGGGGGGGGAAAGAAACGAGCGCTTCCTCCTCAGGCAGAAGCCGTTGGGGGGGGGAAAGAAACGAGCGCTTCCTCAGGCAGAAGCCGTTGGGGGGGGGAAAGAAACGAGCGCTTCCTCCTCAGGCAGAAGCCGTTGGGGGGGGAAAGAAACGAGCGCTTCCTCAGGCAGAAGCCGTTGGGGGGGGAGAAACGAGCGCTTCCTCCTTAGGCAGAAGCGTGGGGGGGGGGGGGAGAAACGAGCGCTTCCTCCTTAGGCAGAAGCCGTTGGGGGGGGGAAAGAAACGAGCGCTTCCTCCTCAGGCAGAAGCCGTTGGGGGGGGGGGAAGAAACGAGCGCTTCCTCAGGCAGAAGCCGTTGGGGGGGGGAGAAACGAGCGCTTCCTCCTTAGGCAGAAGCGTGGGGGGGGGGAGAAACGAGCGCTTCCTCCTTAGGCAGAAGCCGTTGGGGGGGGAAAGAAACGAGCGCTTCCTCCTCAGGCAGAAGCCGTTGGGGGGGGGGAAAGAAACGAGCGCTTCCTCCTCAGGCAGAAGCCGTTGGGGGGGGAAACGAGTGCTTCCTCCTCAGGCAGAGAAACGAGCGTTTCTTCTCAGGCAGAAGCCGTTGGCGGGGGGGGGGGCGTTGAGAAACGAGCGCGCCCGAAACACTGGAGCGCTTCCTCCTCAGGCAGAAGCGTGGGGAGGGGGGAGAAACATGCGCTTCCTCAGGCAGAAGCCGTTGGGGAAGGGGAAGAAACGAGCGCTTCCTCCTCAGGCAGAAGCCCTTGGGGGGGGGAAAGAAACGAGCGCTTCCTCAGGCAGAAGCCGTTGGGGGGGGGAAGAAACGAGCGCCTCAGGCAGAAGCCGTTGGGGGGGGGAAACGAGCGCTTCCTCCTCAGGCAGAAGCCGTTGGGGACGGGGGAGAACGAGCGCTTCCTCCTCAGGCAGAGAAACGAGCGTTTCTTCTCAGGCAGAAGCCGTTGGGGGGGGGGCGTTGAGAAACGAGCGCGCCCGAAACACTGGAGCGCTTCCTCCTCAGGCAGAAGCGTGGGGAGGGGGGGGAGAAACATGCGCTTCCTCAGGCAGAAGCCGTTGGGGGTGGGGGGAAAGAAACGAGCGCTTCCTCCTCAGGGAGAAGTCGTTGGGGACGGGGGAGAACGAGCGCTTCCTCCTCAGGCAGAAGCCGTTGGGGACGGGGGAGAACGAGCGTTTCTTCTCAGGCAGAAGCCGTTGGGGGGGGGCGTTGAGAAACGAGCACGCCCGAAACACTGGAGTGCTTCCTCCTCAGGCAGAAGCAGGGGGGGGGGAGAAACATGCGCTTCCTCAGGCAGAAGCCGTTGGGGGGGGGAAAGAAACGAGCGCTTCCTCAGGCAGAAGCCGTTGGGGGGGAAAGAAACGAGAGCTTCCTCCTCAGGCAGAAGCCGTTGGGGGGGGAGAAGCGAGCGCTTCCTTCTCAGGCAGAAGCCGTTGGGGGGGGGGGGAACGAGCGTTTCTTCTCAGGCAGAAGCCGTTGGGGGGAGGGGGGGCGTTGAGAAACTAGCGCGCCCGAAACACTGGAGTGCTTTCTCCTCAGGCAGAAGCCGTTGGGAGGCGGGAGGGGGGAGGGAGGAACGAGCGCTTCCTCCTCAGGCTGAAGCCATTGGGGTGGAGGGTGGGGAAAACGAAGGCGCCCAAAAGCCCGGAGGAGCTTTGATTAACAACCATGCGGCAACCTGAAGCAGGCAGCCACTTGGGATTCAGGAGGGCTCCCTGCAGAGGCACGCTCTGGCATTACTGCGGTGTGGGTGCCCCCAAGGGCGACGGCGGGGTCGGGTGAGCGCTGGCTGAGGGGAGAGAAACCGGGGAGAACCCTGTCCCTCGGAGGAAGCAGGGAGGAAAAGGCGGGAAGCCCACGCGCCCGTGTTCTTTTCCCGCGTCAGCAATTCCTCCCAGCCCTGCATCACAAGCTCTGCGGCTGGAGTTTAGGGCGACGTCGAGGAGCACAGGGCTACTTCTCTGAGGTCACGTTCGCTTTCCCTCCTAAACTGGAATGGACTCTCAGATACAGGGTGTGTGTGTGTGTGTATTTGGGGGGGAGGTAACACTGCTGTCGGAGGAGGTGGTGCCTACCTGGCTGCTTGTATTGCTTCCCTAAAACCACGACACTGCGACTACCACCAACATCCCTCCTCCCTGACCTCACGACTTGCCAAGAATTCAATCTGGAGTTGCTCAGTTGAATCTTCATCTCAGAGCTGACGCCTCAGGCGCCTTACAATATTGGGAAGACGGGGGCAAGCAAGGAGGGAGAGGAATTGTGGAGGGGACAAGGTGGAGTTTTACCTTGGGGAGGACTGTCCGAGCCACAAATTAGCCACTCGTGCGCACACGAGACAAGGAGGGGCTGGACATGGTGAGTTTCAGCTGGCTCACCAAACTGCACAAAAAGTTAGTTACTGGTTCTCCCGAGCGGATGCAAGCTAGCTGAATCCCACCATTGCCTTCGCTGCCCAGGGCTCTGGCGTAAAAGTACAAACTGGAAGGAAGGCTCAAGGTCTCCCACTTTGTACTTTCACTCCAGAGCCCTGGGCAGCAGTGGCCAAGCATCCAGTCTAGCCGTCGAGCATCGGGATCCCTCAGCCCAGCCCAGGCCTGCTTCCCCAAGGGGGCATCCACTTACCTCAAGACTGCTGCTGGTGCCACCTGACGAGGCCAGGTGAAGAGGTGATGCTGGACAGCACAGAGACCAGGCCGGACAGCAAAGACACGAGGCTGAGCACTGAGGTGAGAGACCCAGTGAAGAGATTGTGTGTGTGCAGGCTAGGCATAGTGGCTGGGCGGGGCTGAACAAGTTTGCCCGGCAACAGCTTCAGCTTGTTGGCCTCAGGCCGCCTAACCTCTTTGCCTAGCCTGCGGACGCATAGCCTCTTCACCGGGCCTCTCGCCACAGTGCTCAGCCTCACCCAATGCTTCATTTTTGCATGTGCACCTGCTGGGATGAGGTAGACCGGGCCAAAGCCACTTAGGCCTGATACTTTGTTTTTGCAAGTGCGCATGTCCACTGGGATGTGGTGGGCTGGGCCAGGCTAAAGTAACGTTGGCCAGCTCCTTTAATTTTCCAGGATCTAGACTTGAACACTGGCCCTTATCTAACAAAATGAAATTCAATGTAGAGAAAAGTAAAGTCCTACATTTAGGCAAGAAAACCAAAAGTACACATATAGATTGGGTGAAACTAGGTTTAATAGCAGTGACTGTGAGAGGGATCTTGGAGTCTTAGTGGACAACCAGCTAAATATGAGCCAGCAGTGTACAGCAACAGCCAAAAAAGCCAATGCAATCCCAATTTGCATTAGCAGAAGGATACAATCAAGATCAAGTGAGGTATCAATACCACTGTATAAAGCCTTAGTAAGACCACACCTAGAGTACTGCATCCAGTTTTCCATACTATAAAAAAGATGTTGAGAAAGTACAGAGTACAGAGAAGAGCAACCAGGATGATTAGGGGACTGGAGACTAAAACATACAAAGAATGATTACAGGAACTGGGCATTGCTAGTGAAGAGAAGGTCCAGGAAAGACATGATAGCAGTGTTCCAATATTTGAGGGGCTGCCAAAGAGAGGAAGGGGGTCAAGCTATTTTCCAAAGCACCTGTAGGCCAGACAAGGAATAATGGATGGAAACTAAACAAGGAGAGATTTAAGAAGAGCCTTGGTGGCGCAGCAGACTAAAGTGCTGTTAACTGGCACCAGCTGCCTGCAATTACTGCAAGTTCGAATCTTACCAGGCTCAAGGTTGACTCAGCCTTCCATCCTTTCGAGGTAGGTAAAATGAGGACCCGGATTGTGGGGGCAATAAGCTGACTTTGTATAAAAAAGAACACGTCTTGGGGGGGGGGGCGAAAGCCCTACTAAGCAGGTATATACAAAAGTATGAAGGCTATTGCTTAACGCATTGTAAGCCGCCCTGAGTCTCCGGAGAAGGGCGGCATATAAATCAAACCAATAAATAAATCGAACCAATAAACCTAGAAATAAGGAGAAATTTTCGGATACTGAGAACAATCAACCAGTGGAACAGCTTGCCTTCAGAAGTTTTGGGAGCTTCATCACTGGAGGCTTTCAAGAAGAGTTTAGACTGCCATTTGTCAGAAATGGTGTAAGGTCTCCTGCTTGGGTGGGGTGGGGTTGTACTAGATGACCTACAAAGTCCCTTCCAACTGTGTTCATCTAATCAACCAAACAATTACACCCCAAAGCCTTCCTGTCTTTCACAAGAGCCACAGTTTCCTTGGCCAGAGTGCAAAGCCAACCAAAATCTGTTGGTTTTCCCCCCTAACTGGCAGGCTTCCCTGGTTGTGTTGACAGGATGATCACCTATTTTACTGGAACTGCAAGTCAATTTTAATCCTTCCCCCTCCACAAACTTAATAGACCTGAGGATGAACATTGCTATTATCACTGAAACTTGGTGAGATGGAGCCCACGGTTTTATTACTAAAAGGATATAATTTGTTTAATAGAAACGGATCCAACAAGAGTAACAATAGTTATATGTATACATAGTATGTAAAGATGTACCCTGTTTCCCCTAAAATAAGACATCCCCTGATAACAAGCCGAATCTGGCTTTTGAATGCATGCACTAAAATAAGCCCCCCCCGAAAATAAGCCCTCCACGAAAATATTTAAATGCATGCGCAACCGGTCCCTGCCATTTCCTCTGGTTTCCTCCACGCGCCCTAAGATAATAAGACCTCCCCGAAAATGAGGCCAAGCGCTTATTTCGGGGTTCAAAAAAAATATAAGACAGTTTCTTATTTTCGGGGAAACACAATATGTATGTAAAAAATTACTACAGGTAGTTCTTGACTTA